GGAACCCCCAAACAAAATGCGCAACCCTCTATGACACTTGACCAATCTGTAGCCGAAGTCGAAGGTGGAACAAAGTACGGGCAAATTGGCATTGAATGGTTGACCACGAAAGGCGCATGACTCCATCCGGCGCTCCTAGTGAGCATAGCACGAGAATTCAAGCGAATTCAGATAAATTCATGGGGAGATTAATTACCTGGCAGTTTGCTTATAGTTCCTGCGTGGCTAAAGCGTGCCTTATCAATATCGCGTAGTCAGTGAAACTTGCCAAAAAATACTATTTTCGGTTTGTCTGATTCGCCAACTGGGAGGCCAAGCGGGTGTGCGTTTCAACGTAGAGTCCAGTGGTAACATCGCTGTACCCAGCGTATTGAGAGGTGGACTGAACGGTACTCGGTTCCAGTTTTGGGAAAGCTGCTATCCAAGTGTTTGTGCCTTCTGCAACCGCTCTCGACTATCGTAGTTTCCCAGACGCAACGAACAAGAACCCTTGCACTTTTATCTAAAGAGTGTGCGAGAATACCACGGGTCGAAGTGAGGTTTTCATTCCTCAGATTATCAACTCGGCCCAAGACCACAAGAAGCCCCGCGGTCGGCAGCTTTTCAACGATGAAGTGCATGACAACTGTGGTCGTCGGTATGCTCCTGAGGTTTGCTTCGGTAGTCGATGCGTCAGCTGATACGGACTCAAACTGGGCCGCGCGGACCTTGCGAGTCGAAATTGACCCAGAGTCGTCGCAGTTCGTTGGTCGGTCGGACAAGGCGAAGAACCCGAGGAAGTTGGCATCCCCACGTTTGGAACGCTGAAATCACCCGAAGCCGCTCTACCACCCGCGCTATTACCCGACGCCTGCGCCGAGGGTACCAGCTCCGCCGATAGAATTTGTATTCCGATAGATGTCGGAGTAACCTGAAAAAGAACGAAGCCGCGTTTCTGTTTAGGTTTGGCAAACCCCGTCAGTAAATGAAACGAGCGACGATGAAGCTTCGCTTTTTTATATTACTGTTTGTTCACCGGATAGTAACTCACTTTGCCCGTCGAAAATTTAGTTTTCGCCCGATGAATGAGATTGATAGATACACTTGCGGTGGAAGTGTAAAACGATGTTGCTAGCCGCAGGCTTGTGTCTCGCTCACATGCGCCAACTGCGCTTTCAGCATTTCAGTTCTACCGACGATGAAGCAAGTGGTAAACTAGATTAGAATTTGTTTTTGCTCTAGTACCGTTTGCTCTGCTCGGCGACTCTGTGAGGTGCTCGTCGATTTGCACTCCTGTTATAGACTTCAATCATCAATCGTAGCATGCATCCAATCGAAAACCCATTTAAAGTCCTTGGCTATACTAACTGTATGCACCGTTAAGCTGCACACCGGCATCGCTGACACACACATGCGGGTGGTTTAACGTCGTCGTAACCACAGTCCCGGGGGAAGGAAGAAAGCGCACGATGATCAACTTTCCTTCAGCGGATGGAGTTTCTGAGCATCCAGAAACACAAAAACAACACAAGAACTCGTACTTAAGTATCAGACCAGCACAAGAAAATATTTTGCGCAGCCACGTACTTCAAGGTCAAGATGCACCGACATCCCTGGAGCGAGCTGCTGATTAGCGCTCGTACACGGAGCGTAGATCTAAGATGCGGCGCGGAAATGCTCTTCATTAGCCAGCTCGGCAATTCTGGATCCAGTCCACATGAAGTTGGGCATCCCGTTGGCTGCCGACAAGAGATGGTCTTACTTTACTGCCTCTAAACCTAAATGCTTCCGCGCTCCTGACCGTTTGAAGCCTCAACTCTTCATCGATACAATTCGCTGAAATCGTTGAAATCGTTGAAATCGTTGGGTTACGAGATAACGGGACGGTTTCAGTTAACCCAGTAGCTGGTAGTCGTTTGGCTGCGGTCGTCTCCGTGCTCGCAGTTACGGCATGAGCTAACGGGTCCTCCCTCGTAGAAGATGCTGGCCAACGACTGCGACGCTGTAAACTTCACCGGACGAAACCAAGTCTGGGCAATGGTCTCATTCTCCAATTCACCAACGCGGTCCAAGGCCCCCTCCTCCAGTATCTTCGCGAATACGCACCATGAAGCTTGTCGCAACTCTGGTCCTCGCTACTCTCCTGAGCCTCGCTTCGGCAACAGATTCGCTGGCTGAGAGCCAACCATCAAGCGTGGCGGTGCGCAACTTGAGAGATCAGGCAACCAATGTCGTGGCGAGGCCCAAATCCGCACCACTGCCGCAACAAATGGTACCTCCCCCTCCACGTCAGCTGGCCTCGATAGGCGGACGCCCGCCCCAAAAGAAAGCGCCGGTGGTCAAAAGGCCCTCGTCCGGCCATGCCGACGAAGCAAGTGTCGCCGCCCTCGCCAGTGGCGCTACCAACCTGCGTCAGCTTGCCGCGAGAGGTGATCACGCCGGAAAAGGAAGGGTGCCCCGCGTGTAAGCGACAGCGCTGCACTGCTCGACCTTATCGACTCAGAAGTTTTCTTTCTATGGCAGCCAGTGGGATGAAAATTAGGGGGTAGTGCTTCCATGCTGTCGCGATGGTCTCGATTCACGCAAGACTCTTGCGTTGCTATACCAATACATGTTGGCGCTTCCTTTCATCACAAACTCAGAAATGTTAACTTGCTCTACATTTATCAAACGCACAGGACTTGGTAAGAAGCGGAGAGGAAGCAGCGGGTTCGAATCCTAGACTAAACGTAACTATGGTATGCTCAGATACTGCGTACCAGAAAGAAGTATCGCGACTGCAAGGCGTTTATGTGTCTGGATGACTGCATTGGCATCCGTGATGGCTTCAATTTGGAGGTGCTGGTGAAGTCGATCCCAGCACCGAGGTCCCCAGGTCGCCCTCGTAAGCAGCCGAGAATGGGACAGCATGATACGACGTTCACAGGTCATAACGCAATCCCTAAACTATTGACCAAACGGGCCGCCAAGTCAGGATTTCCAATAAACAGGAACGTTCTTGTACCTCTGGTAATTGAGAACGAGAGCGGCACGTCGACTAGAAACTTCGATGGGGAGGTACGATCTTGGTTTATTAGAGACGGCAACTACTACAGTACTGGGAGATTGATTTCGCGTAGCCGTACGTTATTCGAGAACTCGTACATGTTCTGAATTTCACCGCACGATCGGTCTATTCGTTTGTATGATCTAGTGCGGTGCGACTTTTACTTTGATAGCTATCATTCGCAAAAAAAATATTTTTCTTCGTTTGACGTGTATGGTTCGTTGTTCATGATCCGATAACGAGTGTGCGCAATAACAAATTATCACACGCTGAAATCCATCAAATTACACGCGGAAAACACGTTTTCCACGCGGATAAAAGCACCACTGTTCTAATAAAGTCGTTTCAACGGGTTAGGACACTGGGAGATGCATCCTCGCGATGCAGATGAGTTGGCGCACTGTATTGAAGTTTTTTCGATCTACAAAATGAAACTTTGGCAACGAGCTATTATAGACATTTACTTAGCTGCAAAACTTTCATTTTAATTTGACCACCGCGTGGGAATCATGATTATTCTATATAACACTTTGCTTGAACACGGCCTAAATCTAACCGATTCCATACCAACGCCACGCTCGCCGATTTTTCCATACTGAGGCCCAGTCGATGACACCGATTTTGATTGACCAATTTTCCTGTCACCGCGAATCTTTGCCATTATCTGACCAACGTCCCAGCATAGCGGCCTCAGCGGTGGATTTAGCCCTCGATATGGCCTTGCGTCTGTGGCGAGTGGAGGTCGTTCTTGTAGTACAGAAGCTGCTGTCGCTGGGATCCACGTACCAAGTCCGCTACTTGCTGTCTGAAGCACCTCCTGATGACGTGAAGTTCCAAGACGTTGGCCTGAAAGTCGCCGCCGTTGTCAACTCGCACGTGTTCCAGGTAACTGAGACGCAGAATGAGCCGCCAAGTTTCTCGATGGAGCTCAATAACAGTGGTGGGCACGTCTACCGATGACGGTTCCTCTATCTGCAGCATCGAGGCCGGTGACTACTTGGTTGGAATGGGGGTCGACGACTTCCTCGTTTGCCCTCGCAGCTTGGAGCAGGTGGAGCAAGACGTGACTGCAGCGGGGGTGGAGGCCGCGCGTGGCGAGATGGCGGTCGTGTTGCGCTTTGTGCGTATGGGGGCATTCGTGCGGGACGTCGGCCGCACCCCTGGAAACATCTTGTCAATTCTTGACGAGCTAAAATCTACCTGTGAGAATCTGTTGACACGATACGAGCTGCTGGCTGCCGAGAATGAAGCGGTAGTGGAAGAGTTGCGGTCTTCCAAGGAGCTGCTGAAGTACGTCAAGATAATGGGCTGCGAGGCGAGAAAGACCTTGATGGAGGATCCGAAATTCAAGTTTGCAGATAAATTTCGCGCGTGGTATGGAGACATGAGAAGAAACGCAGAGGAAGCCGCCGTGAATGTGACAGACCTGCAGCAGCAGAGCCCAAGATTGTCGGTAAATGACGGCAGTACAGATGACCACGGAAAAATACGCCAGCACTGACCACTATCCTATGATTGGTCAAAAGTTAGGTCTTAATCCTAGAGAAAGGTCAATAATGTAGAAAAAGACGACGAGGAAGTTACGGTCGTGACAAAGAAAAAGTGGAGTGTATTGTTGTGGCTACAAGAATTCCAGAGCTTCAAAGTGCTGAGGAAGCGCATTTTCAAAACTCTCAACTACAATGTCCTCATCAAGGCTGTTCCAGGCTATGATAGTGCGCTCGATAATATCAAGGCGCTTTTCTTTTGCCGTTTTGGGGCTTTTGCGGTAAGCCCATGTACTGCGCAGCGCCGACTTCAGCGGGCCCATCACGTTTACGTCGAGGGGCTGGCAAGTGGACGTGGTGTTCGCTGGCAACGGGTCCACCACAGCGAACACTTTCCATGCCATGCTTCGCGGTGCTCTCCGTGCCAGTAATTTTTTGTCACGCCATGCTTTTTGTCACGCCATGCTTTGCGGTGCTCTCCGTGCCAGTAATTTTTTGTAGTGATGGTTGGTAAGACATACGAGCTCGTGTTCGGGACTTGTCGCATGGCGTATTTTTTGGTGGAGCGTATTTTTCCATCGTTATCTGTAGCAGCATGCCACCTCCACAACCAAGACTTACCCCAATTCTACATCGGACGAGCTTGCCCCCAGCTGCCTCAAAGAAGTGCGCACCTTTTGCTATGGATGTCCGGCCGAAGAAGCGAGTTACATTTGCCCCAGACGTGAAGAAACACGATGGAGCTTCAGGCCTCGCTGGAGTGGATGAGAGTCGAGCGTACCTACGGGCTTTATTCGGATCAAAAACTGATATCGTGAGGTCACTGCGGGAGATAACACCGTTGCAGATTATGGTGGATCAAGAAGTTAGGCTGGCTGCGGGGCTCAAGGTAAGCTTTTAGCTTCCTACCTGGCGTATTTTTTTTCGCTCTTGCTGTAGGATAAGTAGTATTTGGCCGGAAACCCGACCCTATGATAAGCTTGCCACATCGCTGTAGCCAATCAGCGATTTGTTTCTTATCCTTTGAGGCTCAGTGACCTATTTTCATCCAATCGTCGCTCATTAGGGTTAGGGTTATTTCGTTCCAACTTATTTCTGGAATCGTCCGGAATTTCCTTCTTCGCGCAAATAAGTAACCATACAAAACTAAAAATGTTTCTCGTACTTACTCGATAAGAGCAAAACCTGCCGGATGTAGCCACTTCCAGACTTGCCCAAGCTGCTCGACACTGTAGTTGGAAGGTCAAGGCCGACTCCAACAACCCAGCAAGCGCGGTAGTAAAGTAAATGAAAGACAGAATGGTCAAGTAAATAAATGAAAGAATATGTAGCAATCTTGATCGATAAACAATCAAACAATCAAGGGCTTGATGTCTACTGGTACTAGCTGCACTGCGCTTGGCCGTCCTGCAGCTGCGTGTTCGCGCTAAGTGCCGCCCCAGGTCCTTGGTCTTGCTCTCGCGCTTGACGAAATTTACCTGCTCCATCGTCTCATTGGGGTCGAGGTTGCTCCCTTGCCGCTCGTCCAGTGGGCGTCCAGGTGTAGTAGCGCGCTGCGGGTCGCGTCACCGCTCACGTCCTCGCTGGTCACTGCGCTTGCCACCTTGGTCGGCATCGACTCCGTCGTCTTGGTCGGCGGACATCGCTTCAAGCGGGCGGCACGCCCAGCCGTACCCAAGACATTCACAGCGCCGTTGGCATCCGCGGACAAGCCGACCGCCTTGCTGCTGTCGCAAGAGCCTCTTCCTTCGTCGCGGCCTTCTCGGTCTTCTCCTTCGTCGTCTCCTCGGGGATGTGGTCTTCCGTCTGCACCGCAGCATCTGCTGCCACGCGGCCGGCTGCCTCTAAGTCTTCATGCTGCACCCGTCTGCTCCTCCTCCAGCTTCATCACCTTCGACGTCCTCCTGCTCCTGCCGCACTACATCCAGGGGCCCCGCAGTCAAAGTCTCGCCCGAAGCGCTCTCCTCCCGCACCACTTGAATGTAGCTCGTCCTCGCGCTGCCCGCGCGTCTGTGCCTGCTGATCCCACGCCGTTCCCTCTTGCCCGAGTCGGCGATGCACGCGTTCTTACATCTCCACCCCGTCGCTAGTGCGTACAGCACCACCGCCAGGCGCTCCGGCGACTCTTGGTCCACTTCCGGCCCGCCCGGAGAGCGCATCTTCGCCGCGTACGCCGAGCTGAACGCCGCCGAGCACAGCGCGAGCGGATATAGGCCAGTTGTCTTCAATATTGTTGGTGTAGGCGCGATTGGGTGCGCGTCGTAAGTCTTGACGAAGATGTAGCCGCCACTTATCAGCGCACCGTGCCGCGGTCGCTCATGCCCACAAGTTAGGCGCCGCGCTGGGCTCCGACAGCGCCGGCCCGCCGCTCCTTCCACTCAATGTACGCGACACATCCTCCGTTTGCTCGGGCACGGCTGCAGGCTGCCCGTCGTGCCGCCGCGGCGAGCTTAACCGCCCTCCATTGCATCCTGCGCCACTCCAAAGAAAGATTGAGAGAAATATAACATTACGTAAGTGCAAATATCACTCTATCCGCTGCCGTCCGGAATGAATAAGTGGGCGCTGATTAGCGCAAGTAATTTTATGTGTCGCCAGTGTGTCTAAACTACCAAGACTGAGATTCTTCTTTAGCCACGTTCGATCTGACCCTATCCTGAAGATACGTCTATTGATTTCGTCGAGGAGGAAGGCGCGCACCAACGGGGGCTCAATTTTGGCATGGAGTTGCGAAGCTTTTCGGAAAAACTGCCGCGAGTTCGCCAAGGCGACGCAGATGTCGCCAAACGCCTCCAAATCCGGTAGATAATATACGTTCATACCTGCTCCGTCCGTCTTGTCCACCGCAGCAGGAAAGCGCTCGGCGATGAATCGACCCAGAGCAAAAGGAGGCGCCGCGTCCACACCTGCCAGCAAGTGAGTCAAGGTAGTCCCGTCCGCGGGTGCCACGCCACCTGGCCACTCGCGCCAGCCAGGGGCTCCGGCAGGTAGACCGTAGTTTCCTCCACGAATGTACGCCATTGAAGCCTCGTAGTTACCTAGGTCGGGACACAACAACAGCAATCGGCCCTCTTCCGAGCACTGGAACCCGCTGCGCTTCCAGGCGGATGAGAGTTCTGCCCACGCCGCTTGACACAAAGAGCTCGACGTGCTCTGGTTCGAGGTCCTCCCATTCTGTCAGGATCGCGCTGACTTCGGCATCGGAGAGTGAGGTGCTTGAAACTGCAGGCCCTCGCGCTCAGCGCCAATTGACATTACCGTGATCGAGTGAAGCTGCTAAGATGAAAAACCCTATCCTACTGATAGCATTAACACGAATCACAGGATGAAGCAATCGACTTTTAAGTTAAAAATTAAGATATCGGAAGATTGAGCACCGGACAACTCTTCTTCTCGGAAAAGCTCGATAGGAAAATACTTGGCGACAAAAAAGCTAGGTCAGATTGCATCACTCAGTTGCAAACGAGCAAAATCATGAAAAACGCATTCCCCAAGAGCGAATCTTTAAACTCATTTCCCAAGTTTCGGCATGAGAGTCTTGAACCCGCTGATTCCTCGTGCTCCACCAGATGCTGTAGCAGTTATTGCGCTCCGAGACGAACAGCGTCGAGCCTTGAGTGTAGCAGCGCGGCGCCCGGAAGTAAGCAGCGAGTAGTGTAGAGTCTTGACGTCGAGGAGAAGCAGTGAACGAGGGAGAAGAGGCTCTTGTCTTGAGTGAGGCAATTCCAAAGTGATTCATTCTTTTCTTAGCCAACCACACTCAACTACATGCAACGTACCACACTCTCGGACAAACACCCCCTTTGGCCAACTGCCATGTAGACAGCAGGTCGATCCCAGTCAATACTGACGGGCCTTGACAAGTACGTGAGTTTCCTGGAACTACCGCCGAAAGGCTCATATGCTGAAGATCTAATAGCGCGTGCGAAAGGAACGGAGGACGTCGCACAACTTGACGAAATTGTCCAAGAAGGTCACGAACAGCGCATCCAACTATTCCACTATGATGCAGCTATCGGAGATCGCGAATTCTTCGGCATCATGATGTCCTTCTTGCCACTGGACACCCTGATCAAGGAGCTGCAGAGTCCGAACCAGAACGGGATGACGCCGATCGACTGTGCCAGGATCATGCACCCGTCTTTGGCGACCAGAATCGAAACCTTCCTGCTTTCGCGCAATTCAAGCCTGACGAGAGTCGAAGTCGGCTCGAGTCGATTCCTCGTCTTCTCAAAAACTGTCTCGACTGTCGGGGAGACGCTGCGAGCGAACGGAATTTATTACGCGGCAGCCAGAGCCGTGTATGTGAGGCACGTGCGCTCCGATAAACTCGACGAGCTGGCAAGACACGGTGACAAACTGCTGGCATTCCCCGATTCTAATGATACGCCCAAATTCTTGTGGACTGGAACCAGAATTGCCGAGCTGGCTCACGACGAGCGTTTCCGCGCCGCATTTAAGATCTTCGCTCCGTGTACGAGCGCTAGTCAGCAGCTCGCTCCAGGGATGTCGGTGCTTCTCGATCTTGAGGTACTTGTGTGGTTGCTAGTATTTTTTATAGGTCTGATGTGAGTTTTTTTTTTGTTTTTTATTTATTCTGGATGCTCAGAACTTGTCGCCTACACCATCAGCTGAAGAAAAGTTGATCATCTTGCGCTACCTTCCTTCCCCCGGGACTGTGGATACGACTACGTCAAACCATCCGCACGCGTGTATCAGCGATGCTGGAGTGCGCGTGCGCGACGAAGGGTACATTGATGACAGATATCTCATAGGTTTTCGTCGAGGATGGTAAATTTTAATCGTGTTTGAAGCTGTACCGAGCATTTTCAAGCTAACAACCATTATATATTATTTGCTACTGTACTGTAGGTGCGATGAGGTCTACTATCGGATGGTTGGCCATTTCCCGCACCTGTACCTCTCAGGCGGCACCGCTGGAAATCCGAGAAAGTTCAACATTCGGGAGGAGGACGATTTTGGCTTTGACAACAGGCGCGTGATGATCAAGCTGCCTCACGAGGGGATCGTGTACTGCCGCGGGGTCGGTGATAGTCGAAAGAACCCGGAGATGGCGTGCGTGATGTTTGACAGTGAAGACAACATCCGCGAACGATACGGCTACCGGGGAAAACTGGGCAGGTGGAGTGACATCTTTCAGTAGGTCTCAAGTCTTTACCGCCTAATGGTGCGCACTAAGTGTAATCAAGGCTTTGAATTGGTTTTCGATCAGATGCATGTTACGATCTTTAAATCTATGATTTTGACGCTGTTGCGTGAGCGCTGGCTATGCCCTGGTAGATAAATCGCTTCTCGCCCTTGCGCGGGTGTCCAACTCGCTCCGTACTGCACGAACGAGCGGGCCCGTTGTCACCCAAGGTAGTACACTGCTTTCCAAACGTGAAGTGAACCGGGTGGTGTAGGCCACGATGTTGATAGCGATTAAGATTTCCTACTTCTTGGAGTCGAACAGTCGGAACAAGCAAAGCTGCACTAACGAAATACTCGTAATATTTGAAAAAAATGAAACCTCGAATACTCTTTTTTCTACGCCCAATCGTCATCATCACCGCTAGTTATGTATCTCGTCGTCGCTGGCAACAACCAGACTGCTCTTCCTCTTGAGTTGAGTTGGTGTCGATGAACGCGGAGGAATAATCGCTGCCGAGGCGGGACTTCCAGTTCTGGGGCGCGCCCTGATCTTGTTGAGGCCTTCCAGTACGTGGCACCACGCGCCCTCTTGGCTTGTTTTGCCTTCAGACATGCGGCCGAAACCACGAGCTTTTTGTGGACGTAAATGCAGCAGGACTTGAGCAGGACGGACTTTCTGATTGAGATCGAGACCTACAACCGCATTCAACGTACCGCAAATTCAATCGACAACATAGCATCAAGACTCTCGGTCGCGGAACAGGAGCCGAACCAGTTTTTGATACACTTCTGCCTTGGACTTGTCGGCTTCGTCGTCTGCGCGGGGAGTGGCTTCACATGTCGAGTTAACGCTACTTCGGTCTTCTCGGGGCAAGTTTACTGCGACCCTTTCAGTGTGTGGCGTGGCTGCTTGGGTAATACGCGACGTCCGGGGTCGAGAAGCTGCGCGCTCGTCTTGATAGTCAGCGTCTGGCGTATACTTCCGCTTCCGAGTGGACCTCACTCCAGCGTTACACGCGATGGGGCCTCAGGCTCTGCTGGTACCGGTCGCCCAATTCCATTATGAAATACAACAAGTCATCGGCTAAACGCCTCTTGACGCTCGACAGCGACGAACCACGACCACGAGCAAGAGCAAACTGTTTGATAGTAGCTACAACATCAAAATCAATATTGTCTGGATATCTCCATGTAGCTGCGAGCACCAACAACGTGTGAGGATGAACATACCTCGTCAAAATTACACCCCAAGTTGAAAAATCTTGCTTACCCGCACGATGTTCGTGCCAACGAGGTATTCAAATACCTTGTCCTTCACGACTTGGGTGCAGTTGGCACTGCTAAAGCCAAAATTATGCTTTAAAGACGTCAACATCTCGCCGTACAGCTTTTGGTGCTTCTCCACTGCTGTTGCGAGTTGCCAAAGTGCTTCCTCGACGGCGTCTCGCTCCCTTGGAGCGGTCGCATCGAACGACAAAGGCCCTAAACAAATGCGGGCATTATACTCTGATGGCGCTACGTGCAGCTCTTGTATTTCACCCTGAATCTGGTAAAATAAAATAAAATAAAATAAAATAAAATAAAATAAAATAAAATAAAATAAAATAAATGCCGTCAGTAATTGCCAGATTCCGGACCGGAATCCGGAAACCTGTCAAATCTGCAATAGAGCCACACTGGCGACACATAAAAAACCTCGTGCCAATCAACTTCGACTTATTCATTCCGGACGGGAGTGTAAAGAGCTAAATTTCGTACTTATATGAAATGTGTAAATCCCCTCCACTTGTTCTCTCTCTCATTCTGCAGGCGTGTCTAGCCCTCGCGCAGCGCGCCGCATGATGGCGGTTGCTCTTCCAGATGCGTTAACTGTGAGAATGAGAGTGACGGCAGCTAGACACCGCAGTTGTAGCTATTCATAGCGTAGTGCCAGGCTGAACTAAAGAGCACTTATTCGATAACCAAACTTTGTACTTGGTTTCAGTATGGTTTATTTCACTGTAAGAAATTCAAATTCCGGACAAGTCCGGAAATAAGCTGGCGCGCCTCTAACCTACCCCTAAATGCGTGTGATTCGCTATAATAGGAGGGAATGCGATCGTGGTTGGCCTATTTGACGACTTATCTCGTACGGGGCAAGGCTTTCCGTCCAAGCAGGACTTATCCTACAATAATATTTTCTCAATTCTTGTACCCATCACATCATTAAAGAATTCTTCAAACAAGGAGATAGATACCGATTGGATCTTGAGTTTATATGGAAAGCATTGCTGGTAACTTCTCTAACTGCAGGCGATAACACAGCTCGGAACAAGCTCAACCTTATAAAAAGTTGAGTTTGCTTGTTTGCCCAATTTAATGTGAAAACATTGAAACGCATCGATAAGAACAAAACTTATATTAATATCTTGGTCTGACTTGCGTGTCCTCATCGCCTGGTCGGTTCCGGAATAGCTCTCTCTCCGTCAAAGACGCTCATGTCCGACTCAGTCTGAGTTTTGGTGGAAAGTTTCGCGGGAAATGGGTTGTAAGCGCTTATCGCTGTTTACAATGTGGGAGGCCTCGCAGGTGGAGCTGCACGGCACTTACTCGACGGGGAGAGCGGTCGATCTGGCCAAATACATCGGCGACACCACGTGGGCGCCCGTCATAGCTGTTTTCATGGGGACCCCGGGGCCGTGTCTGGTGGTCACACTCCTCATCGACTTCGTGCCACTTCCCGACCCGTTGAAGGGGATCAAAGCCAACAAACTCTTCTTGGCGAGGGAGTATTACTGTTTCGTGGTGATGACACTTCTCGCTATTCACCAGTTTCGCACGGGGGTACGTACGGTGCTCTCGTACCCTACGACGCGAGTCATCCGAGACACACTGGTGGTGGCGGCACTCACGGTTGGGGCTCTGTATGGCGCCATCTTATGGATTGGTTTCCCACTACCGTTCACAACAGTGCTGCTTGTGCCTGTCTGGTTACCACTGGCGGTAATTCCCATGGTAATCCAATGGGCCAAGGCCTTATAGCAACACCCGAAGGCAGTGACGATGCTCGTCGATATGACCAAGCTGTGGATGTGCGACTTCCTCCTGTTCTTCATCTACCCGTCGTATTATTACGTTTTCACCAGGCTAGAGCACGACGCTCAGATGGCGTTTACGCTGCTGCTACCGGTGATCAAACTGTTCATGAGGAACCTGTTCGCTCGTGCTGTGGGGCATCTCGGTGACGAGACACCTACACTTGTGATTTTCAACGCCGACGTCTTTGGTTCGCTCTTCACAGCGTACTGCATGCAGAGTTCACCTTCGTTCTGGACGACGATGGAGCTCATGGCAATAGACGTTTGCTTGATTGGGATCTCGCTGCGTGACATTGAAAAAGCGCGTAGAGGTTTGGATGAGCTTGAGCGGAAGATCGATTGGAGTAATACTTTTCATGACACTGGCGGTCATGTCAGTGCGAGCGGCAAGTCGACTGCTCTTGAGCGAGCGAGAATACTGCTTGAGAGGGAGCCCCAGCTACAAGTAGACGATACCCACTCATTTCAATTGCTTGAGCTTGAGGTAAAGCAATCGGATGACGAGGAACGAGAGCGGGAAGGACCAAGGTTGGCAGCAAAGATTACCAAGAAAATGTGGAATATTCGGAGTGCGTTTAACACCCCAAGCGCTCGTGTTTACGCGGCTGATGGACCCAAATGTGGCGTTGAAGAGGGCAATGAGGGTGTGGGCGTGGATGCAACTGGAATGAGTGTTCATGATAGACTGGAGTACACACGAAAAGTCCGGCGGATACTGTGCATGACGGAGTTTCTTCTCCTTCTCAACAACGGCGAAGTTATCATCCCACTCGTCTTCTATACGTACGCGTGGTGGGTGTCACGCTCGATATTTATTGTTTGACTAACTATTTTGTTTCGTGAAAGCCACCTATTTAGTCGCCACGTATTACCTACCCAACCGAGAGTATTACGCGATATACGACGGCATCGACCAAAGCCAGCTCCTGGAAACGCTCACAAATGTTTTATTCTACTGCTTGCTGCAACTCGCATCGTTTCTGCTCTTGGCCTTCATGCTTAAGCGCATGCTGGGGCTGTCGCCAATCAAGCAAGTTGCCATTATCCTGACAAAACAAGTGGACTATGTGCAGATGTGCCTCACCTTCTGGCTATTTTACAATGTCCAGCGTTCACTGCGGCACTTGGGTTAGTTCTTGAAACTATTTACCAATGGTATAGGTGGGGATGTTTAATTAACTTTTTTGTTCGTCCGACCTAATTCAGCAGGCTACGACTACAGCTTCCAGTTCACTTGGCTATCGCCTTCTAGTTCGACATCAAATGAAGATGGGTCTTCGTAGAGGGGTGAATGAAGCTGCGTCGGTATGGTGCGGATTCCTTCTTGCTCTGTTACTTGGGGTAGAGCCGCACTTCGACGATGACAGATATATGCATACAATGACCCAGTGCAAAGTAACGATGCAAAATGGAAGTATTGTGCTGTTACGGGCATTTCGCCTATCTGTTTGGTCGGTGGTCGCTTGAAAGCTTTGTAACAAGTATCACAAACACTTGTTATCGGTGAGCTTCATCGCATGACATCTTCGTACATGGCAACCGAATCAAACGCGTCGACGACTAAACGGTTATGCAAATGTAGTGCGTGCTGTTTTCATTCACCGACAGGCTTGCTCGATGATGGAAAAAAAGTTGAGCAGTAGTTGTTGAATTAACGCAGCGATGGATCTGTTCGGCTGCAGCAGCATGAATGACTGATGCATTGCTACCTTCTTTTTTTTTGGGGGGGGGATTGTGTTTCGGGTCCGTTGTCTTAAAATAATTCCGAATTGGTCCGCTATTTTCAAATCGAACGTTTTTATGAAATAATTAAAAAGTTTTGGAAAAGCGTACCCAAAGTGTACCCTGTATCCTGTTCCAGAATTCTTTCCTGTTATCAAACTTTTCCCTGTTCCAAAGTGATACCATAAGATATAAGAAATATATCCACTGTATGTAATACAATGCTTTTAAGCATTTAAAATTATATATGAAGCACTTAACAAACCGGTTAGGAAAATGTATACGGCAAAGCATAGGAAAAAGTTTAAATATCAGCACTCACTACAACTATATTTTTAAGATAAAATATTCTTGTACACTAGTTGTTATTAGTATATATAAATATATATTGATTACAAGTCCAGTCCAATGGTTGCTTACACGAAATACAACGCGTATTAATCTATTTTACTTGTAGTATAGCGCAAATGGTAAAAGCCAAACTAGTTCTGGCGTTTATAATCAAAATTAGACTTTTGGTTAGAGTCTTTGGAATAAACCAATAATTATAAAATACATATCACGAGTTTGTTTGCAATGGAACCTTTGTCTTGTGCCTAAACGACAAATGTTGTAGGATTGTATATATATTTCTTAAAGTACATGAAGAAAATATGCACTGTAAGATACAAACCGGTCTACAGTGTACAGAGTGTGGATTTATTACAGGGTACACTTTGGGCAGGTAACTAGCTTTAAAAAAAGAAATGGACGTTCGATTTGAAACTATCGGACCCGATTTGGAGTTATTTTAAAATAACGGACCCGAAACTCATTTCCCTTTTTTTCATCGCCTCATATGGCTACATTGAAACTTGAATATTTGGATACACCCAAACCGAACAATTCCGATAGCAGATGTACCCATCCCATTGAAGAATTCTTCAAACCGAAGAGACCATGAGCGACTGGCAAGTGCTCAAGTTCCAGCCGTGGAACAGCGCGCCCGACGTGTCCTTCTGGCAGACGCTCACGGGCCTCAAGCTGGACAAGTTCCAGCTCGACGACCAGGCGCAGGTGCGTGTGTTGCAGCCCTGCAAGCCCCTGAGCAGCAGCTCGAGAGGAATCTTTGGCCAAACCTTCTCTTGATATTGTTGCAGGAGATAAGGGGCTACTTCGCGCCCGGGCGGTCGGAGAATGTCCCCGCGCGCTTCACCATCGATGAGAGCGCGTTCCCAAGCACTGACGGGGCTCAGACGGACGACCGCGCGCGGTACGAGTGGGGAGCGCCCGGATTGCTCTTCAACACGAACACGCTAGAGGTGTGTGCATGCATTGTGATACTACATAGGTCTGTCTAAACTAATATACTGGTCTTATTGACGACAGGCTTTCAAGACGCTGGACAAGGCCAAGCTGCTGAAAGACGCGGGGGAGAAGATCCTGGATCTGGTTCTAGGCAACGAGGGTGGGGACGTCTCTGTCGACCACCTGAACAGCTTCGTGCTGCTCACCTTCGCCGACTTGAAGAAGCACTCGTTCCTGTACTGGTTCGGCTTCCCGGCGTTGTCCCCACCGGCACCGTTCCAGTACCGGGCCCCTCCAGCTGCCGCATCGTCGGTGCTGTCTACCAAGGAACAGGTGCAGGCACTTCGCGGCCTGCTGAAGCTGCGATGTGTGAATCGTGAGACTGGTGTGGTAGAAGGCAACTTCCCTTCGTTCTTCGTGGTGGAGCGTCTGGCTGAAAGTGCCAGCTGTGAGCAGGTCGTGAGAGTTCTGGATGTGCAGAAGTGGAAAGCAGCGGACCACAACGCTGATGGTGTGGTGGAGACGCTCTTTGGGTTTGTAGACCCATGTCCGTTGAAGACAAACCCAGGATGGCCGCTGCGGAACTTCTTAGCGCTGCTGACGGCGCTCCCATCTGAAAAAGTGGACCTTTCACGTCCGCTCAAGATCATTTCCTTCCGTGAGCACGTCCACCAGTTTACTGAGGTGCCGGACGACTTCAAGTGGAAGAGCTCCGTGGTGTTCGAAGTCAAGAGTGATGCGTCGTTCATGACCAATGGCCGTTGTAGGCAAGATGTGCGCGTTGTGGGCTGGGAAGCCAACGTTCGCGGTAAAATGGGACCTCGGATGATGGAGCTCGGCGGCATTCTGGACCCGATTCGCCTTGCAGAAACGTCGGTGGATTTGAATCTGAAGCTGATGAGGTGGCGCCAGCTGCCGTCGCTAGACTTGGAGCTGCTCGCGCAGACAAAGTGCCTGCTACTCGGAGCAGGTACGCTGGGTTGTTACACTGCACGGAGCCTCCTCTCGTGGGGTTTCCGCAACATCACATTCGTGGACAACTCTACGGTGAGTCACTCAAACCCCGTTCGCCAGCCCCTGTTTGAATTCAACGACGTCGGGAAGCCGAAGGGCGAGTGTGCAGCGAACGCTTTGAAGCGTATTTTTCCGTTGGTGAACTCGCAAGCTGTGAATCTAACGATCCCCATGGCTGGTCACGCCCTGAGCAGCCCGCAGTTAGCGGAGGAGGCAAAGAAGGGCCTCGAGACGCTGGAGCAACTGATCGAGTCCCATGACGTTATCTTTATGGGCACGGATTCGCGCGAGAGTCGCTGGCTGCCGACTGTGATCGCATCGTCGAAGAAGAAACTGCTTCTAAATGCGGCATTGGGCTTCGACAGCTACTTGGTCATGCGCCACGGCGTTCATCCTGACCACGGGCATGGAGGTGACGCAACGAAGCCATCACTGGGTTGCTACTTTTGCAACGACATCGTGAGCCCTCGTGACTCGCTGAAAGACCGTACGCTAGACCAAATGTGCACGGTCACCCGCCCCGGTCTCGCTCCGATTGCTGCAGCGACGGCTGTGGAGCTTCTGGTTGCGGTGCTACATTCCCCTCAAGGGAAGTATGCGGATGCTGAGAAGCCTAGCGACGGCTCCGTTCCGATGGGTTACATCCCTCACCAATTTCGAGGGTTCCTGAATGCATTTCAAAACATGGTCATCACCGGCGAGGCGTTCGATAAGTGCATTGCGTGCAGCTCAAAGGTCCTCGCTGCATATGACGCGGGTGCGCTGGGTCTATTGACGAGTGCGTGCAATGCGACGGCGTATTTGGAGGAGCTCACAGGGCTCAATCAGCTCACGGAAGAGGCTGACTCATTGATGGTTGACCTTGAAGACAGCGACGAAGACGGAGACATGATCTAGGCGTGGTCTGCCGATACATGTACCAACAATTTAGTGTTAGTCTCTTGAAACGATCCTATATTACTACTGTTGAGTGACCTCTTTCGAACAAGAACTCTTTCGAACGTCTCCGTCAATTGAAAAACTTGCAAGACAATGGCTCGCAAGCGCTCGTGGGAGGCCACGCAGGTGGAGCTTCGTGGGTCGTATTCGACCGGGAGAGTGATCGACCTGGCCAAGTATATTCGCGATGCCAGTTGGGTGCAAATGCTTGCGGTTGTCGTCGGGGCTCCAGTACCGTGCCTGGTAGTCACGCTGCTTATCGACTTCTTGCCGCTTTCCGACCCATCGAAGGGGATCGAGGCCGACGAATTGTTCCTGGCGCGGGAGTTTTACTGTTTTGCGGTGATGACATTCCTCGCCATCCACCAGTTCCGCACAGGGGTGCGCACGGTGTTGTCGTACCCTACGAAGCGACTCATCGTAGACACTCTTGTGGTGGCGGCACTCACGGTTGGCGCTTTGTATGGAACCGTTTTGTGGGTTGGCTTCCCGCTACCGTTCACTACACTGCTGCTTGTGCCTGTCTGGTTGACGCTGACGGCCATCCCGATGGGAATTCAATGGGCACGAGACCTCCTGCAAAAGCCGAAGGGCTGTGCGACTTCTTGCTGGCCTTCATCTACCCGCCGTATTTCTACGCTTTTACCTCCCTAGCGCACGATGCTTAAGTGCCGTTTACGCTGTTGCTACCGGTGATCAAGCTTCTCATGAGGAATCTGTTCGCTCGGGCCGTGGGGCACCTCGGAGATGAGACGCCAGTGCTTGTGATTTTCAACGCTGACGTCTTCGGCTCGCTCTTTGTGGCGTATTGCATGCACAGCTCGCCCTCATTCTGGGCGACCATGGAGCTCATGGTTGTTGACATTAGCTTAATGGGGTTATCGCTGCGTGATATCGAGCGCGCGCGTAAAGGTTTGGGAGGGCTTGAGCGAAAAGTCGATAACGGGTACATGTGGGCTAGTTATCACGGCGAGGTTGGTCACATTAGCCTGGGAGGCCGCATCCCAACGACACTTGAACGGGCGAGCATTTTTCTCGAGAGGGAAGCGCAGCAACAAGGAGCAGACGGATCGCGTTCGTCCCGACTGCTTCAGCTCACGCAGGTACCATCGGATCAGGAGCGAGAGGGGCCAACACTGGTCGCAAAGAGCGCAGCAGAAACATTTATCGAGCGTCTAAAAGCGGCTGGACTAAGTGGTCGCATCTACCCGGTTGCCGGTAGGAGAGGCATTGTCAAGGAAGTTCGAGAGGAAGCTGCAACTACGTACACTGGAAGTCGCACCCTAAGTGTTCAGGAGAGGCTGAAGTACACTCGCAAGGTGCGGCGGCTGCTATACATGGCGGAGTTTCTACTGCTCCTCAACTACGTCGAAGTTGTAATTCCACTCGTCTTCTGAACGTACAGGGGTTGAAAGCCTGTCGAGGTAGTGGCGACCCTGGTGTGCATGTTGGTGCTGTTTTGACCCCACATTGAAGCAATCTACTTGGTTGCCACCTACCACCTCCCCAACAAGGAGTACTATGCGATCTACGATGACATTGAGCAGAACCAACTCATCCAGACTCTCACGAACGTGATGTTTTACTGCTTGTTCCAATTCGTGTCGCTGCTACTCCTGGTCTTCATGCTCAGACGCATGCTTGGACTGTCGCCGATCCACCAAATCGCCTTCGTGCTGAGAAAGCAAGTCGACTACGTGCAGATGTGTCTCGTCTTCTGGCTGTTCTACAATGTGCAGAGCTCCCTGCGGCACTTGGGTAGTCCTCTCGATCGTTGCTGAATGATTTTTATCTAACTTTCGTTCGTCTGCAGGCTACGACTACAGCTTCCAGTTCGCGTGGCTATCAAATTCAGCGGGGTCCTAAGAGGCATGTTGCTGTTGCAAGAGGCAAAGTTCATTTCTTAGTCCATCTGCCACGTACCCTTCTGGCTATCCCCGTAAATAATATCCTTCCTCGCCTTCTCATTGGTCCCTTATCCCAATTACTATTGGCCAAAATCCCGTTACACCACACTTTTCCGTAAATACTTGTGAATGGACAGCGCGACGTACGTTTCGCCCCCTCTCGCTCAGAACCGAGAAGCGCCCAAGAAGCAACAAGCGAGCCGCGCTCCCTCTCTCTCTTCACCCCCTCCTTCACCAAGTCAAGCTCCACGACAATGTCCGCCCCCAACGAAGCCGACGACCAGGTGGAGCTCTTCAAGGTGAAGAAGCTTATCAAGTCTCTCCAGGCCGCTCGCGGGTGCGTCTCTCTAAGCGTCTCTAACCGTCTCTAAACAAAACTTCTCTAACCACCTCTAACCATCTCTAACCCGTAGCAACGGCACGAGCATGATCTCGCTGATCATCCCTCCGAAGCAGCAGATCCCGCTCATCTCCAAGATGCTGGCGGACGAAATGGGTACGGCCTCCAACATCAAGTCGCGCGTGAACCGCCTGTCGGTGCTGGGCGCCATCACGTCCACGCAGCAGCGCCTCAAGCTCTACAGCAAGTGCCCTCCCAATGGGCTCATCATCTACTGCGGCACCATCATCACGGACGAGGGCAAGGAGAAGCGCGTGAACATCGACTTCGAGCCCTTCCGCCCCATCAACACGTCGCTCTACATGTGCGACAACAAGTTCCACACGGAGGCGCTGGGCGAGCTGCTGCAGGACAACGACCGCTTCGGCTTCATCGTCATGGACGGTAACGGCGCGCTCTACGGCGCCGTGTCCGGCAGCAACCGCGAGATCCTGCACAAGTTCAGCGTGGACCTCCCCAAGAAGCACGGCCGCGGTGGTCAGTCGGCGCTGCGTTTCGCGCGCCTGCGTCTCGAGAAGCGCCACAACTACGTGCGCAAGGTGGCGGAGACCGCCACGCAGATGTTCATCACGAACGACCAGCCCAACATCTCGAACCTCGTGCTGGCCGGTTCCGCCGACTTCAAGAACGAGCTCAACGGCAGCGACCTGTTCGACAAGCGTCTGGCCGCCATCGTGGTCAAGGTCGTGGACGTGTCGTACGGTGGCGAGAACGGCTTCAACCAGGCCATCGAGCTGGCCGCCGAGACGCTCGCCAACGTCAAGTTCGTGCAGGAGAAGAAGCTCATTGTGAGCTACATGGAGGAGATCGCCCAGGACTCGGGCAAGTACTGCTTCGGCGTGGGCGACACCATGAAGGCGCTGGACCTGGGCGCCGTCGAGACGCTCATCCTGTGGGAGGACCTGCCGCACCACCGCTACGTGCTGCGCAACGAGTCGACCGGCGCCGAGACGGCCAAGATCCTGTCGCCGAGCGAGGAGACGGTGGATTCGAATTTCGTGGACGCCGAGACGGGCGCCAAGCTCGAGACCGTGGAGCGCACGCCGCTCGTCGAGTGGTTCGCCAACAACTACAAGCAGTTCGGCACGACGCTCGAGTTCGTGACGGCGCGCTCGCAGGAGGGCTCGCAGTTCTGCCAGGGCTTCGGCGGCATCGGCGGCATCCTGCGATGGAAGGTGGACTTCATGGAGATGGACTACGAGTTCGACGACGACGACGACTTTGACGAGGACGCGTTCATGTAGAAGTAATTATTGCGTGACGCTGACGTGCGCTTAGTTAGGAAAAACGAGGCGTCACGCACCGTGGCGCTGCGGGAGGAACGAGCGCAAAGACAACTGAAGACTGCATGTGCTTTTCACGAGCTGTTCGGCTGAAGAAGGGAAGGGTGGCGTCCGCTATAGAGTTGGGAGAGCAGAGCAGAGCAGAGCTGCGAGCGGCGCACCCCGGACGAGCTGTAAACACCCAGTGAGGCGAGGAATACACGACCGATTCCATGCTTCCTGACTCACTCTGACTGAGATGCTAGTGCAGTGAGATGGCCACTAACTTGTGCTGTGTGAGTGGCGTTGTCCGGATTAAGCCAAGGTAGCGACTCGACTCGACAAGGCGTAACGACTTGCGAGATATCTGCCATGGGGGACGAAGCTTCGACCCCGGTCGAGCGTATGGAAGGCAACGTGGACGAGGTGCAGGAGGCGCGCGAGCAGCAGGCGGCGGCGTGTCTGCAGCGCATGTTTCGCTGTCGGAAGGCGCGACTGCGGCTGCGGCAGATGCTGGCGTCCGTGTTCGAGAAGTTCTACGACGCCGACTCGGGGCTCTACTACTACCTGGACAAGCGCACGGGCGAGACGACGTGGGAGAAGCCCCGGGTGCTGCGTGGCGACGACGACATCGAGTTGACGGCGGTGTACGACGGGAAGGAGGAGGCGACGTCCGAGGCTGAGCCGACGAATTCCCTGCAGGTGGTTGATCTGGACAAGGAGGAGAATCACGAGACCGACGAGGAAGAAGAGGAGGAGGCTGAAGAAGGAGAAGAAAACGCCCAAGAAGAGAAGTATCTGGGCTACTCGGCGCAGGATCTGGAGCTGGCGCGGGAGCAGTTCGCGCACTACGACACGGATTCCAGCGGGTCCATCAACGCCAATGAGCTGCACAAGCTCTTCACGAACCTCGGCGAGCAGCTTACGTTGAACAACGTGCGTGAACTCATCAAGGCTATCGACACGGACGGCAACGGCGAGGTGGACTTCGACGAGTTCCTGCATCTGCTACGCAAGCAGCAGGACAAGAACCAGTACTCTGCATCTCTGACGCTGGCGTTGATGTTCGGACCCAAGGAACTGACCAAGCTCAAGCAGCAGTTCATGATCCTGGACATTGACGGCAGCGGCGCTATCGACGAGAGCGAGTTGCAGCAGCTGGTGAAGAAGCTGGGGCGTCGCGCGGACGAGTTCGACCTTCCCGCCATGATGCGCGAGGTGGACGCGGACGGTAGCGGCTCAATCGGCTTCAACGAGTTTCTGCAGATCGTGGCGACCATGACCAAGGACGACGGACCAAAGTCGGCGTTCGCGGCGCTGCTGAACCTCGGTATCGCCCAGGGGCTGCTCAACGGACTGGACGAGGTCGTGCAGGCTTCGCGTGAGAAGATCTTCGAGTGGCTCAACTCCGACCTCATCGCCGAGCAGAAGAGGTTGGCACTCAAGCGGGAGCGTCGTCGACGCCAAGAAGAAGAGCGACAGCGTCAGCTGGCGAAAGACCGAGAGATGTACGCAAAGCACCAGGCAGAACTCGCTGCGCTTGAGCGCGCGCGCCACGCGCAGATTGAAGGCTTGATGATCGACGTCGAGTTCGAAGGGGACGGCCGCAACTTCCCGATCCCGGGGCAATTCGCGCGCGTGCACTACGTCGCGAGCTTTGAGCGCACTGGAGAAGTCTTCGAGTCGACTAGAGCGCGGTGTGGTAGTGCACTCGAGTTTTGCGTGGGCGCTGGGCATACGATCGCAGGTTTCGACTTGGCGTTGCAGCACATGAGCGTGGGCGAGACAGCGCGAGTTGTCATTGCCCCTGCGCTGGCCTACGGCGTGAAAGGCCGACCCCCACGTATCCCACCGAATGCTGCCCTGGTGTTCCGCATAGAGCTCATCAGTATCAAGGAGAAGCTCCAGTCGTCGGTTGGCGGTGCCGCTGTGACGCCCGTGCAGCGACTACGGAATCGGTAGGCGGGTACCTAGCTTAACCAACACCTGTACGCGCAGAACCCACGCATGGAGTGAAGTCTGCCTGCCACTTGGGCTACAACGTCAGGCAGCGCGATGATTGGCATCGACGCTTGTCGCCACGTCTTAGGTGGTCTGAAGTTCAGCTTCCGAGCACATTGTGGCGAGCTCCACTGGCCATTTACACATCGTCGAGCACCGACTTGGCTCTAAAGCAGAAATCGGTTTGCGAGCTGCTTAATTCGTGTCGGGCCATTTGATATCCGACCACGCCAAGCTCAAGTCCAAACCAGACCGTGGTCATGCCGGTGGGCAACGGCAGCTTAGTCGCATGTTTAATCCCGCAATGCTTTCGACGCCAGAAATCTCCTCCACCGAGTTCCAAGTCGACTGGAAACGTATTCGAAGAGCGCATGAGGCAGCGACTGAAGAAGAAGACGAAGCAGAACAGACGATCGACTCGGACCCAACTACGCTCTGCCTACGAGGAGTTTGCGACGTTCGACCTGCTAGCGGCGAGGGACCGATCGGTTGCGGCCAAGAACGCGAACAGAGTCAGAAAGCAGCAGTGGCCGCACGTGCTGAGCTGGGATTCCGCCGCGGACACGTACGTGAGTCCGCCGTCCTCGGTTGGAGCCGAAGCCGGAGGTGTCATGGGCACCACGCACACGAACACCCCTCCAGACTATGACCCAGAAACCTCGAGCAGGTTCTCAGCGCTACTTACCCGCCAGGAGATTCCCCAAGAAGCTGCCTTCCGCTTACAGCAACTCGCCCAATTGGACATGCGCAACTCGACGCCATCGTTCGTGTACCAAGTGCCGCGTGAATGTGCCAGGAAATGGAGTACGGCTACCACGAATGGAAGCGAAGAATGACGGAGATACGCTATGACTCAAAGCGTATCTCCGTCATTCTTATGTATGATACTCATAGCTATGGCTAGAACTCATTCCTTCAGCACGAAAAAAAATATCAGTCCGACCCTGCAGTTTTTCCATCACATTATTAGGATAGTCTCACGTTGCGCTTGTCTAGCGTTGCTATCGACATCTCCTGAGTGACCAGGGGTCATGGGTTTCGTAGCGATCTTCTTGTGTCTTTGCCAAAGACTCTTTGGACCTCGCCCCCACAAATCCCGCCGAGAGTATCTTCGCTGCTTATCACAAACCTGGACGCGCGTCTGTGGCAAGTGGAGGTCGCGCTCGTCGCGCGGAAGCTGCTGTCACTGGGATGCGTGTACACGGCCCGCTACTCGCTGCCTCGCGATGCCGTTGAAGAGGAGTTGACGTTCCAAGACTTTGGCCTGGACATTGCCGCAATTGCGAACTCGCACGTGTTTCAAGTAGCAGAGACAACAGGCGAGCCGTCTCGGTTCCCGCCGGAGTTCACGGGGGAATTCACTGAGAAAGACCCCGTTCGTCCATTCAAGCGGACGACTATTTAGTAGGCATGGGAGTCGAGGATTTCCTCGTGTGTCCTCGCAGCTTGGAACTGGTGGAGCAGGACGTGGCAGCAATAGGAGCCGAGGTAGTTATCAAGCATGAGAAGGGCACAAGTACCGAGAAGACCGTCGTGTTTCACCTTGTGCGAATGGGGGAATGCGTGCGGGACGACCCAAGACCACCTGGAAGTACTTTGCGCACTCTAGACGAAGTGGACGCGAGTTGTGCGCAGTTGTTGGCTCGGTACGAGCTGCTAGCACAACAGAAGCAACTTGCTGACGAGGAGTTGCAATGTGCGAAAGAGTTGGTAACATACGTGAAGGTCACGAGCTACGAGACGAGAAAGTTTGTGATTGAGGATCGGAAGTTCCACTTCGCTGCTGAATATCGCGAATGGTATGACGAGATCACGAGTGGGTTGGAGTTATCTGCGGAAAGCACGGTGCTGGATTCGACTCAAAAGTCATCTGCACACGAAATGTGCGATAATGATTCATGCATTCAATGTCAATGGAGAATCCTCTGGATTCCGCGTTGCTCGACGATGCCCAGTTCGCCATCGACGGATCGAATAGAGGTACCGGTAGCTGACGATGCTGTACCAGAGACGCAGTTGAGTGACTCCAGAGGAGATACCCGCCAGATCGATCTACCCCAAGAGAAGCCGCAAAATGAACTGACAACTGCTGCCTTGGTTCCAAGCTACGGTGTGGCTGACGGTCGATCATACCTCCTCGCTTTGGTCAGCCCTGCCACCGACATCGTGGCATCACTGGAGCAGCTAACAATTCACGTGCAAAACGCGCTGTCGTTAGCGAGGAACAACGAGTTTATCGTGGCGGCGGGACTCAAGGTCCGGCGCGAGATACGAAGGGTTGGGCAGTCCTTGTTCGCTGCTCGCGTTAGACTCGGATATCTATCGTTTAAATTCACTGCTGCAACAGGTCGAGATGCAGCCATCGGCGCGCTCTTGCGGCTGACAAGAGCCGTGATCGAACACAGAAGACTGTACGGTGAGATGCTGTCGTACCTGGAAACTCACTTCGGCTTTTGTATGGACAACGACGGCCAAGCAGTCAAGGACGCGGCGTTGATGTATCTAGTCGAGAAGAAGATCGTGCTGGTAAAGTGTGCTCGCTTCCCATTGCTTACTTGCTATTGATCACAAGGCTAACGTGGTATTGATGTTGGTGGTTCTTCACAGTTCCGCGAGGTACCGAGTGGAGAACCTGGCAACACAATGTACGATGTAGTCGCTTACATCCAAGAGTTCCCTCTAATTTGCAGACGTGGCTCATCTCTATCAAGCACGAAAGCTGAGGTGGTTGACGCTCTCACGCTGATTCTACTGGAACTTGTCGAAGAGTATCAAATGAGTCTCAAAGTCGATCGCGTCGACAAGATCATAAACGCTGAGCAAGTCGAGTACACCGAAGTCGTCAGTTATGGTGATAGTGATGACGTTTGCGACCGCATTGAAAAGGTTGATTCAAGAAATGCGGAGCTAAAATCAGAGGCAACTTTACGAAAAAGGCCTTTATCCCCGCAAAAGCCCGGGGAAAGCTGTGAAAGTGGACGCGATGCTCTTCGCCCCCGGCTGTCGTATGCAGCCATAGCACCGAAGACGCGAGTGTTATCAGAAGCCAACGAGCCTACGATGAAGACATCGACGGAGTCACTAAGTCACAACACTCAACCTATCCACCAGAAAGAAACTACGGCAGTACAGTGTCTTGAATCTTCGGAGGTGGATCAACTTCACCCTTCGGCTCAAGTGAACGATAGCAACGCTGACCCGTGCAGCGACGACGGAGACGAGGACAATGGCTGCAATGCTACAGATGAAGAATCGGATGAAGTCGCCGTATCGGAAGAAGACGCGCTCTTCAAAAGAGAAAAGGAGAGCCGCTACGTCGAGCCCACTGATGCTGACGATGATGAGGCCAAGTTCCGCGCGGTGATCAGAAGCTTACTAACTTTTACGGATGAGTTCCGCACTGGTGTGAATAAACTCAGAGGCGCGACAAATTGCGCAGTGCAAGCAACGATATTCCCAAATATCAGGGCAAGCATCAACAGAACGAGACTCAAGGGCACCATTACCTTCCGTGTTGATGTGAACGATGTCCTTCACTTCAAGGCATCAAAAGTGGGCAAGTTTGCTGCCTGCAACGCAGCAATTGACGGAATCCTGATGGAACTTGATAAAACCCGGTTGGTGTGGACACAGCTTCTTGAAATTCTGCACGACAAGTCGCTCCAAGGTGTTCCGCCCGTAGAATGTTTCCGAGCCCTGAAGCGCTCACGCGTCGCCAGTGTAGGTGGCGTTTTATCCCTGGTGAATGGTGCTGTGTTCCTCACCACGGGTGTCTGCTTATATTTTCTTCACATAGATCAAAACAACCGTGGAAGACTCGACGCACCCATCACGTATACGCTGCGCTGTGCAAGAGAACGGATATGTCTTGTGTCGAGCAACGAGTGAAACAAAGGCGAAAGCTCGGCGGTCGGCTGAGCTTCGAGCAGTTCAATTCTTTTACAGCTTGGTCGACTGTTTGCAGTCGCTTGAGTTTTCCTACAAGACAATTACGGCCAGCGGGCGCATTGACTGGTCTTGTCGTGTTGAACTTCAAGACGCAGACGACGCCAGTAGATACCACAAACTTCGAGTAGAAGCTGTTTGGTGTCGCCCCCGCATCGGCATGAAACCTGATGGATTTCCCAGCCAAGGTATCGTGGCGACCCAGCAAGGGACTGTCCCGATGGAAAGAGTGGAGACCGAGTTGCTCAGTCTCCATGAATCAGCTTTGACATGCTTCTCCTTGATGTTGCCGTCATCCGATCCATCTGAACACCGGAAGTTTGTGCAACAATTAGTCCCCTATTCCGAGTTGTGGGGGCACGAGCCGCACGCGCTCGATTGACTATTTCTCCCCAGTGTCCGTACACTGTATACCTCATTCCACCGGGAACGACTATTAGCAGTGAGCTGGACGAAGCACTGCCTCGCTTGGACTACCGCAAGAGCGTAGTCGGTATTTTGACCAAAAAGAATCTTGATAAATGTGTAAGCACTTTGAAGTAAAAGAATTTTACCCTAACTTGCTGTTGACTGCGTTGCGTACGAACAATGGCCGAGTTAGCGCCATCAAACTTGCAGTCAAGTGTATTGTGAGCTCGGGTTGGCGCGATGGTGCTCATGGGGCACGTCTCGCACAAGGTGCAGAGCATGCGGCAGAACCTCCGCAATTGCTGAGAAGTTTTCCACGACTGCCTTGGGCTTGCCTGGCAGCGTCACAATCAGGGTCTTCTTGCGAATGCCGGCCACAGGGCGGGACAGCACCGCCTTGGCCGTAATCTTGAGCGAGCTCTCGAGCATCGCAATCGGAAACCCCGGGATCTCCTTATCCAGCACGGCCTTGATAGCCTCTGGAGTCACATCGCGAGGGCTGAAGCCCGTGCCGCCAGACGTCAGGATCAGGTCCACAGCGTCTGAGTCAGCCCAGCCCTTCACCACTGCCTGAATTTCACTCACGTCATCCGGCACAACTTTGGTGGCCACGACGTCCACCTGGACCTTGTCAACTTGGTGCAGAACGTCAGCCATGGCCGGCCCACTCATATCCGTTGACGTGCCAGCAGACACCCGATCGCTAATCTGCGGGGTACGAGCCTGTGCATTAGTATCCAACATGTAAGGACTCCCACCAGTCGAGACTACGTACCGTTAAAAGTCCCGCACGAAAGATCTTCCTGGGAGCGCTGGATTGGTCTGTTACGTGGTGGTGGCTAGGCGCAGATGCAGTAGTAGCCGTGCTTTGGTTTGGTACAGTTGAAGCCACGCCTGTGGCATTTCCAAACGTATTGTCCAATACGAGAGCTGGGACAGCATCCCCATTGCGAATCTCAGTCCCCGTCGGCAAGCAAAGCAGAGCATTAGCGTTCCGACAGCTAGCAACAATTTTTACAGTACGATCAGTTAGTTACAGACCCTTATCATGTTAGCAGTAAGAAAAGCAAACGTACCTCAACAGACGCGAACTGATTTGCCGACCAGTGCTTGTCGCCAGAAACTTGTGCTGCTTGGCATCCCACTCGAGGTTGGCGCGATGAAATTCTGGGCGCTCGGAATCCAACTTAATCGGATGGGTCAGCGTCGCATACACCTTGGCATGACGGCACTTTGAGATCGGAAGCCCGCGAAGGCGGCGCAAGGCCGGCAGAACCAGCAAATGGCACGTCGTGAAGGAGCTCACAGGGTTGCCCGGCAGCGCAAACACCAGCTTTTTAGCGCCTTGAACGTCGAGCGTAGCAAACGTTGTTGGCTTCCCAGGCTTCATCAGTAGTCTCCCGAAGTGCACAGTGCCCATTTCCTCCAGCAGGGGCTTGATAAGGTCGTGGTCGCCCATGCTCACGCCCCCGCTTGTGATCAGCACATCCACCTGTTTAAGAGCTTCCATGATTGTCTCCTTCAGCGCCTCTTTGCTGTCGCCGCAGACGCCCAAGTCGAGCATCTTGGCACCCCACCCGCTAAGCAGCGCCAGAAGCATAGGGCGGTTGCTATCGCGGATCTTGCCGGGTGTCGTCGTCCCCTGGAACGCCTCCACCAGCTCGCTGCCCGTCGACAGAACACCTATTACAGGCTTCCGGTGGGCGACCACCTCCGTGATCCCCGCCTACGAAATAGCAACAACAACACAATCGTCATAAAATCTCCATACACGAACCCCAGAGCGCATAGATCACTCACCGTCGCCAGCAGGCCGATCTCCGCCGCCGACACCAGTTCATGGGCGTTTACGAGCACTTCTCCGGGGCTGATGTCCGATCCAATAGCTCGGATGTTCTGGCCTTCCTTCACAGCCTTGAGGATCTTCACTTCCACCTCCCGCGCCACCGTCTCACTGCCTTCAACGCTGCTCGTGTCCTCGATCTTCACCACTGCGTCGGCTCCGTCCGGAACGGGGGACCCCGTCGTGATGTACGACACTTGGCCAGGCTTCAACGCAGTCACGGGCATGTCCCCCGCCGCGATGCGCTCTACCACCGGAAACTACCACCAACAATAACACTGATCAGACAGCCACACAGGAAGAATCCCCCCCCCCCCCACAATGCAACGCCCTACCGTCCCCACTCCGTCCGCTGCGACGACCGCGTACCCGTCCATGATACTCGCGCGGAACGGCGGCAGTGGCTCCTGCAACACAATAACAATAGCATTAACAATAATAAATGTTATTAACAGAGTATCTTGATGTTGAAGAGATATAATAGATCAATTGCGCTACGGTACGCACGACGCTGTGCACGGGCTCGACCAGCACGAAGCCGTCGGCCTCGTGCGCCGCCACGCGCGCGGCCTCCAGCGGCTGCGCCTGCTGCAGCACCAGCTCCACGGCCGCCTCCACGCGCAGCATGTCGTACGCGCTCTCGCGCCGCGTGGGGGACACGCCCTCGTCCCCGCACTCGCAGTCGCACATGATCATCAATTGACACAGTGAGCTCTCTGATTCCGTACTCGCGGTACATGGTACCATCCCTCCCATTGGCCAAAACTGTGGATCTTGGCGTAACGGCCGTTAAGTATACTGCAACTTGGGTGCTGCTGGAAGGATGCCATCGCCTCGTCCTGGTCTCGTGCTGCTGCTGGCGCTGACGCTGAGTCTGAGTCTGAGTCTGAGTCTGAGTCTGAGCGCGCTCTCGGCGTCGCAAGGCGACCCCGCCGCGTCCGTGTTCGAGGCGGCGGCGAAGGCGCAGGAGGCGGCGCGCCACCTGCAGCGAGACCTCGCGGACGACCACGTGCGCGTCATGTACTGCACGTCGTGCGGCTACCAGCAGAACTTCCAGCAGATCAAGACGTACCTGGAGGACACTTTCCCGCACCTGGTGGACAGAGTGGACGGCGCCAACTATGATGTGGACCCTTTCAAGATGGTCAGCGGCATTCTTATTACATCGTGGAACGTTGGCAAGGGAGCTAAGAGATTCATGCATTGTGTTGCTTTGCAGATGCTGGCGCAGTTCATGGGCTACGCGCAGGCGACGGCCATGGTCCTGCTGGTCTTCGGGGAATACGTGAGCTTTTTAAGCCCAAGTTTTAGAGGTTTTAGAGGGTGTTTGGGGCTGACGAGGGTGTGTCGTGCGTAGATTTTGCCGGCGCTGGGGATGAATACGACGGCGCTGCGCTGGGCGCTGAACAACCGCATCGCGGCCGTCTTCATCGTCCTGTTCATGGGCTCGATCGCCAGCAGTTTGACGGCGTCGGGGGCCTTCGAGATCTTCTTTAACGGTGCGCTGGGAGGCTGAAGGCAGAGTTGTGTCGGACCTTGCTTGTGCTGACTGTATTTATTGCGATGGCTGTTGGGTCCGCATGACTTGATCTTCTCCGAGCTTGAGACTGGGCGGTGGCCAACGCTGCTGGTGAGTTTTGTTTTAGTAAGATGAAGTGCTTTATGCGTTCGATGTTGACGCGAGATTTTTTCTCTCTCTCTTGTGTTGGATGACTGCAGGAAATCTCCAACTCGATCAGCGAGTATGGACTGCTGGACAGCCCAGCTGCGTAGAGGATGGCTCTTAACCTGACCTTGGAGCGGCAGCAAGGCGTCGTCCTGGTGGAATACTGCGTGCCGCACACTGGTTTAGATTAAGCCTGCCATGAACACCTGAGCTGGACAAACACATTAGGGCCTTGACACCTTACAAGCACAGAGTTTGACACTCCGTCGCCACACGGCCAGGCTTCTACACGCGCTGAGGCTCGAAGCTGGTTTCCTGCTGAGGAGTCAGCGGCTGCATCTTCACTGGCACCGTGACGATCTCACCGAGTGGCGAGTCGGCGCGTCCGTACGAGGCTGAACTCTCCCGCCGGTAAGCAGGCTCGGGCCTTGAGCAGCACGAGAACCCGCGGTCGCCGCAGCAACACCTCGCGAAGCCGTCGCAGAGCGGGACGCAGGTCGCCTCAGCGCACGCGATGCAGCAGCCAGCGCAGCACCCGGTGCAAACCGCCTCCCAGAAGCCGCCCATGCCGTTGGTTCCGTGCGACGAAAGAATTTGTGTTGTGCTCACGTATGGTTGTATGTTATAGCGCCGGATCGGCTGGCAAGAGCTGAACTTTTGCTGTCGTTGTCGGATGGATATGAACAGAGACTCTGCCGCTGCACTTCAACGTGGACATGGCTACACGTGCGGTGGGGATCTTCCGAGGGAAGACACGACTTTCGAGTGAGCTATAGAAGCGGTTGATGCAGGGTTGACTTGCTCAAAAACGTTGTCTACTTATTTTGCTGGGTATTTTGCCGACTGCATCTCACGACCAGCTTGCTTATATGCCCGCTCCTTGAGGCGGTGCTTGACTCGATGGCAGCGTGAAGTTGACGACGACTGGTACGACTGGAACGGGTCCTGATGCGGTTGTCCCTCCTGAAGTAATGGACGCGTACCCTTCGGCGGGGGCGCTCTCGGGCTTGGCCATCAGGTCGTAGCACGAGCCGCTGCACGTGCAGCAGTCGACGCAGTCTCCAGCGTCGCAGTCCGCGAGGGTGTCGAACCAGTCGTTGCAGACCTCGAAGTCGCAGTATTCGCACTCGCAGTCGCAGTCGAGCCCCGAGAGGATGCACTCGAGACAGTCTGCCATGCTTTGCGGATTAGAATCTGGCAGGAGGAGGCTGTCTAAGTTGTCGAAGCCCCATCTCAACTTAGAGACGAAAAGCCCCACTTCTTAGACCGCTATTTTTGCTAGATGATCCTTATTCTCCTGGATATAAACTCAGTTTAGAGAGGCGAATGCAAACGCTATCGTGTTGTTCTAGTCTTTTTGTACCTCATGGACCATCGTGCCTCTGGACGTAGATCAGTGCGGAAAATGATGACATGCGCCCCGGAATTAAAAGGCAGCACTGCCACGGTACGTCAAGGGTAAAGGACTCTTGTCGCCGAATCCTACTGGCTCAAACCTGCGTCGAAAGCACCGTCGTAAGCGTCTTTCGTACTCAGGTAAGTGCACTGATAGTCGATTGGTGGGGTCAGATTCAAGGCTGACATCTCGTCCAGACACGCCTTACCCAGTCGCTGGAGGTCTCCGCCACTGCTCACGTACGATGCAAAGATGCTCATACCGCAAGTATCGGTCGAGTCATCGCTGTCGGAGAGAAACGTGGTCGAGACAGTCCCGTGGGTTGGGTAGTCGAACGTGACCAGCTCTTTGTTGTCTCCCTCCAGTACATCCAGCAGATATTCGGCATACTTGTGTGCTGTCTTCGGGTCCAGTGTACCGCTCAGTAGTAGCACGCTAGCTTGACTGGGGATCGTGGTGCTCTTGTTCCAATGCTGGTCGCGCTCGTACAATATCGCATTGGCTTCGTAATCTTTGAGTCCCAACTCATCGCACCATTGTGCTTTATCTTTCGAGGATGCGCAATACAGAGGGGGGGAGCTGGTAAATCGTGCCGACCGAAAGCTTGGTACTGGCAAATCGAGCGGTCATCTCAGCAACCGATGGCGCAGGAAGTTCCCACATCTCCGAGAACATGATGAGGTAGTACAGCAGATTCGAATTATATGCCTCGGCTTGAGTCGTGGCTGCAGATCCGCCGCTCATAACATCAAAAAAGTTGTTCAGGACGTCGATGTCATCGGAGGAGCAGTGATTCAGTATGTAAACAATCGGTGGGATCAGTGTCCGGGGCTCTTGAGAACCAAGCATTAATCCGAGAGTCGCTCGCAGCTTGAACGATGCCTTCGCGTCGAGCCAGCTACTGCCGTTGTTGCCCACCAGTGTAGCGCAAGTCGAGTTGGGGTGCGTATCAAACTGAGTGAGCACGTCTTCAAGCGTGTCTGGCAGATTTTTCTTCGCAAAATGGGAGCGGCATACGCTGTCCTGGGTACATAGCTCCATGAAATGACCACCAACGTCGTCGTAGTCTTTTTCATACTTCGAAAAATACTCGAGCTTGTCCGCTGATGCTCCTGACGCTGCGGCGATACCGTCCATAACATACCCCGTCACCTCAGGTGGGTCCAGGTGCATCAAGCGCTCCACTACGCCGTGCCGTAGCTCACTCCGTACACAATCGTGCTGGCTCCATTCGTGTGTTTCGAGATGAAAGTTGCCACGTCAGTAGCGGCGCTGGTGATGGAGAAAGCTGCCAAGTCGGTGTACTTGAACTCCAGAGCTTTCGCACACGCAGCCACTTCGGTGGGGTCGATATCCCTGCCTTTTGGAGAACCAGCCATCAGAGTTTGAGCCGCCACACAGTCGAGCATCGTGCTGCGTCCAGTACCGCGGTGGTCCACGGTGTAGACGTTCACCATCTCATTGAGCTTCGTGTGCAGGTCCACCACTATCGGCTCTCCTAAAAAGATGCAACATCCAGATCAGGCCCAAGGAGTTAGTGAGAATATAGTCCTAGGAAAAAGAAAAAAGATACAGCACTTACGGTAATAGGATGTTCGGCCGGGACCTCCCGCCAGAATCCACACATTGATTGCGTTTTCGGCATTGCCACCTACAGTGGACATTCGCTTCACGAAGATGTCGATCTCCGAGATTTTGGAATCCGTGGAGTCGCAAATTCCAGGGTAGCACAGCGGCGCAGAGAACGTTGCACACTCCGCTCGCAGACCCGTCGACTCTCCGGTCTCTGGGAAGGTGAACTCGGAAACTCCTTGTTTATCTAGTGACTTGGTTGTGTGGTTCCTTCGGCAATTCTGTACATGTAGTAAAATGCTCGAGTTTATGAAAACAGACAGGATGGGGGGATTACTTTGCGACGACACTCATTAGATCGCTATTGATATGCTGTCAATTGTCTCCATTGATGTAGTCCGTGGTGACGAACACTTGGGGGACGAATGTAGGCTCTTAGAGCCTGTTCGCGTTGTGCGCCAGTTCGCTCGTGGAGAGCCACAACGCCCGAAGCAACCAAGAAGCCTACCAACGTGTGCGTGCCTGATACGCTTCCACCCACATCTTTAAAACTCCAGAATACTGGGAGGGCAGCTTTAGCTGGCTGAACAGTCCAGCTACCCACAAGACTGCTACAAGTAAAACGAGCCTAAACTCGAGTTGTAGACCCCGTCGTAAGCGTCTTCGGTACTCAGATAGATGTACTGGTAGTCAGTCGGCGGCGTGAGACTCAGCGCGGGGGGGGGCATCTCATCCAGACAGGATTTGTCCAGCTGCGCCAAGTCGCCGTCGTTGCTTACATAGGACACAAGGATCTTCATGCCGCAAGTGTCACTGAAGAAATCGTTGTCGACGAGGAACGACCACGCCACAGTTCCGTGCGACGAGTAGTTGAATGCGATGAGCTCTTTGTTGTCTCCTTCAAGTGCGTTCAGCGGATACTCGGCATACTTGTGTGGCGTCGTTGGGTCGAGTTTGCTGCACGGCATTGCCGCGGCGCCAGGAGCATCGGCGGACAAGTTCGAGTTCTTTTCGACGTATGAAAGAGACTACGGCGAGGTCGGTGATCACTTCTTGAGCATGTGCATTCAAGACAACGTATGCCGCTCTCATTTCGCGAATAAAAATCTCCCAGACACGCTTGAAGACCTGCTGACTCAGTTTGATACGAACCCCAACTTGCCAGCCTTGAATTTGACCACACCGATCGACAATCAGTACACTTACCTGAGTACGAAAGACGCTTACGACGGTGCTTTCGACGCAAGTTTGAGCAAGTAGGAAGCGGCGCAAGTCGAGACCGGATTTTACCATTTACTCATATTGATAGCGCTGTCTTTTACTTCCTCAATCAACACTTCAAGTAACGGAAGTAGAATAAATTTGGTTGCTCCCAACAGACATGATTCAGGATACCCGTTCATACCTGGCTGCTCTAAAAAAACTCGATCTGTTTGGTTCGGTCTGGGTAAACAAAATTGCTACTAGTGTTCATTTTAAACGAAGTGTGTGCTTTTGACGAAAGAAAACAGCAACGCGTATTAACAGCACAGTGATTCAAAATAGTTTTGCAGGCGTGAAGGAGGATCACGCGCGGGAGACATGACAGCCAGCAAAGCTGCGGCCTCGCCAGACAGTCGTGTCATGCCATCCATGTTGAGCAGAGTCGAGCTGCTGGTTATCCGAGATAAGCCCAGCTAGCAACGCTAGGCGTGGTTAAGCGTGGATTCGGGCCACGGGCGGTTGCGCCGTGTGCTGGTGGTGCGGCGAAGGAGGTGGCGCGGGGGTGTCGTGTTTCTTGGCAGGCTTGGGGTGTCTCTTCGGCTTGTTGCTTTCTGCGACGAACTCGCGCGCCACCACCGGCCGTGGCATGGGCGGCGCGGTGGATGACGGGGGTCTCGTCGGCTGGTGGGGCGAGCGGCGAGGCTACTTGGGCACGCCACCCACTGGCACCTCATTCACCTTTGCTGCTTCGCTAGCATCCGAGAGAAGCTCGCGTCCACCTGCCGATTCTACAGGCTTCCGTTCATGCTCCGGTTTGGCTAGCTTCCGGTCGTTGCTGGGCGACACGCTCGTTACCGGGTGGTGGTGCAGGCGCGGTTGCTTCGCGTCAACTTCTGCGTCGACAGCGACGAATGCCTCGCGGTGAATTGCAGGCTGCGGCCCGGTCGTCGGTGGGTGGCTCATTCCCGGGTGCCACTCGTCGTGCTGCGGCGATCGTGCCTTGGGCGTTGCCGCTGCCTTCGGCCTCTGCTCGTGTGAATATTCAGACGTCGAGACGGATAGCTGCGCTGGTATGGCAGCTTCCGTCGGCTGGTGGCTCGTCGAGGGGTGGTGGTGCAGCGTGTGGGGTGACGCAGGCTTGGTAGCGGCGAGCGGCGACGTCGGAGGCATACGGTTGTCGCCGCCGCGCAAGTTGTTCCGCGCTGGCGCGTTGGGCTCCGTCCCAACGGTTGGGTTGGTCGCGGAAGCCAGACCCACGAGCGCGGCGACGACGAGCGTTGTCATGAGCTTCATGGTGGTAGGGGGGAGTAGTTGGTGGTGGTGGTGTGGGGAGCGGTTGTGGTAGGTGTCTGCGGCTAGGCAGAAGAGTCCTTGGGTCTTGTTGGACCGAGTAGGTAAGTTGAGGAATGAGGCTTGCCTGCACTGCGGACGGAGAGGATTCGTTCCCTCATTCCGTTGCGGGCGCAGGTCGTAGCCCCCCGCGAAACCTCAGGTGCAGACTGCATCACGCACGTTGCTGATCGAGCGGGGTTGCTGAAAGCTCCCGTTCGTGAAAGCAGTGTCCATGTCTGTGAAACGTCCACGGCGGCCGTACCTGCCGGGAAGTACTCGGTTCGCCTTACTCCGTCAGGCATGCTGTACTAATTGTAGCGATGCGGTTTCTTGCGGGACCAGCGCGAACTGAGCCCTTAGAGGCGGCGCCCCTGAGATATCTGTCCACGATAGTATTGGTGTGCGTGTGAGGTGGAGGTAGCCCGCCCGTCATTCAGGGCGATAACACACACCCGGGCCTAGCGTTCGGACAGAGGAAATACGAACGAACGGGGCGAAAATCGGTACTATGTTGGTTACAGGACTGAGCTAACAGCACTACGGACAGACAAACTGCATTGAATTAAATGGAGAACATGCAACGAGTGCATTGCAGCGTGCATTGCAGCGTGACCACCTTAAGGGCTACCGTGCTGTAGACTAGTTGTTAGTTGCTAGCTTTGGAGAGCGAGGTGAATCGTGAAACGATTCGTGATCTTTGTGTTACAAGCGTACACTCACGCTCGCGCACCTTCCCGTAAGTCTGTCAGATGCCCTATGAGCGAAGAGGCGTCGGACACTCGGCGGAGCTATAATGTTTGATTAAACGGTAGTAGCATACGGGTGGTGGCAGTATGGATGGAGTGGGGCGGGTGAGAAGAAGAAGAAAAAGTTGATTAACTAGATAGTGGACATGCCGTTTCACTAGCTACGGTAAGTTATGGTAATACCTACTTGGACAACTCAATTATGGCCGCGGAATCCAAATTCGACAACCTTGTTGGGGTAAACTAATTGGTTTGGGTGTATCAAACCCAAGTCGTTGAAGCACCGAGTTTATTGCATCACCGTCCAGTTTCAGCTCTTCAGAATGCTGGAACATGTATTGACAATGTCGGCGAAATGAGCTCATCAAACCTTGAGTGCTTGGTTGCTGTGTTGCTGCTTCCTCAAAATGGATATTGTTGCGTAGACGCCATGTAGCATGGAACACAATTGCTGTGTGAACTCTACACAGCAGCAAAATGGTTTTATGTTGCTGCTTCCAATCTGCTTTGATGTCCCGTGGTTGCGGAAAAAGCAGTAGCCTCCAGCTTAACACGGCGTGGAACGCCTTGCTCCATCGCGCCCACAGTGATTGCCACATATCGTTCAAGCCGGGGCATGAGAAGAAACAGTGCTCAAGTGTTTCAATCGCCACACACGATTCTCGAACGCACTGTTGAACCGTAGGATTGAGTGCCTTGAGGAAATACAACCTTGAACCGACAATGAGATCTCCAAACAATAGTCTTAACATGACATCATGCACCACCGGAATCAAACAGCGTCGCAGCGAGATGTACAGAGCTAGTGTGGAATGAATCCGTAATTGGGGGCATCCACGTTCTTGCATAGGGAGGCTACCAACTACTTGAGTGCTTCGTAGCAATATATTCCAGTCAAACAATCGAAGATTCGGAAAAAAATTGGTGCCCTTGTCAGCTAGCACTCCAAATGTAGGAGGGAAGGCTCCACGAGATGAAGCCCTTACTCCGCCTGCATCGGGATCCGGTAGCACACGACGCCATACTTCCGTTATTTGCCGATACAACTGAAAGATGTCGCTTACTTCGATTTGTGACCCGAGCAACGGTAGCACCACTCTGCGGATCTTGCGAAAGAAATGGAAAGCCGTTGGCCAGTGATGAGAGGTGTCAAAGAAGTCAGCTAACTATCGCTGCTGAGCTGCAAGCTCTCGGCACAGACATCTGAAATGAATCGTTCCTGTACCCAGAGGTTTTCGAGCCGAATCCTCTCGACGATACACTTGGAATGAAGAAGATGTATTCCACCAGATAGGAGTGAATAGTGCATACTGAACGGTTCTTGCTCTCGTATACCGCAGCGTGTGCCGAAGTGGCCAATGTACCCGCTTCCAGTCCTTCAACAACTGGCGCCACCACATTAGCAGCATAGCTGCTCGCCATCCCGGTGGTTTTGGAGGATTCTGAAGCAAAAAGTCTCCAGACCACCTTCGCGAAAATACCCCATATCGTAAGTGCAATAATTCAGCCATTGGCCTGTACCAAACGGCCGCACCATCATTTCCATGCGTATTCAGCACCTGAATGAACTGCTGAAGAAGCATAAAACGTTGTCTTCGAATCACTGTAGCGAGCACAGGTACACCAATGCCATCTTCATCACGTGGCTGAGTTGCCAAGCCCTTCTTCACAACATTGATTCCACCTGGACCCGCTGCAATCTTATTATATAAAACATGACGGGTCACGACACCCTGCCATCGCCTGATAAATCGGACCGGGATATTTATCGTGGTCGTGAAATACCATAACAAGGAGATGACCACAGCTTGGACAATTAGTCGACGCCCCATCAAAGTTCGTGCCCTTCCTTTCCACAGCCGGAGGCGAGTCATTAATTTTTCATCGAGCTGATTTGCCACAAATGTGGACGTATGAAAGTTCCCAAAGGGAATGCCAAGATACGTTACAGTCTCGCCCTTTCGAAGTGACCGGAGCGACTCGATTATTGGCGCCGCCCGATGGTTATTGAGGCTCATGATCACACTTTTTTCTGGATTGAGCATTGCACACGAACCAGCACAATACAGATCAACTGGGCTGAGTTGTTGTTGCAGACACCGCACATCCGCTGAGAGTTGAACTGTGTCATCAGCAAAGAAAGCCACTGGGACCGAAATTGTCTCGTCAACTTCAACCCCCAGCTCTCGCTCTGCGCGTAGAAGATTTCCAAGGGGCTCTAAAGCAAGCGCGAAAAGGAAAGGCGACAAGGGGTCTCCTTGTTTTACTCCACGTGAAGGTTCAAGAGCTGGTTGCGCCCATCCATTTAGCATTAGAGAACATTGTGAGCCATCGTAGAGTAGTTTTATCCACGAGCGAAACTTGGGACCAAATCCTTGGCGCTCCATCACCTTAACTAGATACCCACGGTTAACACGATCATATGCCTTCGCAAAATCGAGGAAAGTGGCAACGCCTTTGTCACCTCGAGAGGTAACCAAGTGTTGCAGGTCACGAATCAGCATTACTTGGTGATGAATGGATCTTCCTGGGATGAAACCCTTCTGGTCAGGATAGACTAGCGAGGGCATATAGGGTTTTAATCTATCGGTGAGCGACCTCGACAACACCTTCACTTCCACCGGTAGCAGAGTTATCGGTCGGAAGTTGCCCGGATCTGCACGATCTCCCTTTTTGAAGAGGAGGGCTACCGAGGAATAGCGTTGATGAGGAAGAAGCTCTCCACGTTGGAGTTGGTAGCGAAATACTATTGCTAATATTTCACCAAACACGTCCGGGTCTACCTGATAGAAGGCCGCCGTGAATCCATCCGGTCATGGCGCAGAGTGCCCTCGCATTGACCGAATTGCAGAGGCCAACTCGTATCCTGAAATATCAGCGTCGAGACCTTCTTCAGCTTCCGGCGCTAATTTTCTGTCAATTGAGTCCAGTAGGCGACGTTGAGCTGCTTCATCAGGTGGACGATCATCCTGCGAAAAGCGAGAATCGCCAAAAATCTTTCCCCAATGGCGCTGAAAACCATCGTTAATTGCTGATGGATCGTTTGACATTGAGCCATCGGCGAGCTTGGCCGACTGAAACGGGGTATGGCGGAGCTCAAAGCGTGGCGCCCGAAAGCAAAATGCTGAGCTACGTTCTGCCTCCGTGACTGTTCTTTCAAATCCGACTCCACTTCGAAGTCCGCCCATTCCTCCTTGCACTCTTCATACCGTTTCTTTGTGAAATAAAAATCAATTGAGGCTTGCTCGTCGTCACTATCCTGAGCGACTGCTTTTGCACATTCTTCAAGTAGTTGCCGGGCGCGGACAAGGTCCGATTCTGCATTAGCCTTCATACTGCGCTGACAAATTTTGAGATAACTTTTCATGCGTTATTTCCAGGATTTCCACACTATCCCAGGATTATCAGATGCACCAAGAACTTGAAGACAGCTTTTCACTTTCGTCTGGATATCTTCACGAAGTTGTGGCACACGCAGAAGCCAATCCGGAAGCCGCCAAAAATCCTGGTCCTGTGGGGTGATACCACGAAGTAAGATTGATGTGGTGGGCCCTGTGATCACTTCCTTCCCAGTCTTCATACGCAGAATCTTGATAGCACGCTGAAATCAAATTATCCGAAACAAATATGTAGTCTAGACGATTTCGACGAGGACGTGGACCCGAAAACACTTGCACGTCTGGGTGATGAAGCCTCCAAGCATCAATCGCATTAATCTCGGTCATCCACGATGTGAGCGCAGTCCTACTGGAATCAGGCCTTGAGTTGCTTGTTATAGCGTCTAGATTAGGATCCACCGCTAAATTAAAATCTCCACAAACCACGTGAATGGCATCACCTCCATTTTCTGCAGTCTCAAAATTAGTCGGTAGGCGTTCAAATAACGCCTTCCTTGACGCCGGGTCATTGGGCGTGTAAATATTATGAATGTAACAAATCTTGTCCCCCCAGCGCATCTTAACCAATAGATATCGATTGGGGATCGTCTTGGACGCCACGACTACTGCTGTCTTGACGCCGGGGCAGGAACCATGAATAATTGTCGCGACGCCTCCACTCCGCGGAAACGTAGTATGCTGCGATGCTCCGTTCTGGTCCCTAAAAAATACCCGACCTCCAAAACACTGTTCCACCAGGTAGCTGAAGCGCTTAGCATGACGACTGTCTTTGAATCGAGTTTCTTGAATACATGAAAAATAAAAATACTTGAGATGCTGCGAGATGAGAGGGTAGCCACCCTCTTTTACTCCATGAACATTCCAGGTCAATATCTTGCACGATTGACCAACATCCAGTCCTGAAGTCATCTTAATTAATCAATGCCGCCTCAGAAGCCGACGACAGACTGTCAAGGGGAACACTCGGGAGCTCTTGCACTTGTAAGTCACTGCAGCATAGCGAGTGGAGGTCCACCAGAAGTGTGCTTGTTGGTAATTTCTGCAGCAGTGCTGTCAGTAGCTGGGTTCCTAGGTGAGAGCGCAGCAAATGGACAAGTATCGAATCAGAGAAAAGAGAACCATGTCCGCACGACGTGTCTGCATCGTGCTCTCCGACGAGATAATCTACCCATTCACTGGATCCAGTCAGAAAGGGACACGTAGCTTTCAGTAGCAACTCAAAGGCGCTAAGCAGGCGCAGAATCCCCCACTGGGTTTTTGCTTCAGCACTTTGTCGTTTCAGTTCCGCGGCTAAGTAGCTGACGTAAGAGCTCCGAGTTTTCCCGAGGGGCAAGTGGGAGCTGATCGCACGTTTGTTAAACGTGCCCAACATTCCATTTGCTGCGAGAATGCGGTTCAACAGGTGGATCGACGCCAGTTCCTCCAAATTGTCACCACCATTTGCGAGATCAGTGCAGAAAGCCGTAGACCATGCAGTTGGCATCGCCGTAATAGATTCGACTACTTTGTCCATGTTTTTTAAAGTCTGCAGCAGCTTCTCAACAGGTTTCAAATGTTGCGTGTTTTGGACCACACGATCCTCATGCGATTCCAGCTCCGCTTCTTCGGCTGACACTAAAACACCTTCTTCAGCCACCAGTTTGTTGTTCCCTGGGGTGTTCGTGCGACGCTAGGTTGGAAGGGGTTCACTAGCATCTTGCGTGGTTCCCATCGAGGTAAGATGAGGCACCATCAATACACCAGCAGTCCAATCCGACGTAGTATTTGGCTCAATAGCTTCAAACTCACAGTCCACAACTTCAAGAGCTGCACAGGGATTTTCGTCCGTAAAGGACGACAGAGTACGGTCAGCACGCTTGAAACCTGTTTCCATCTGACGGGCCATGTCCACGTCGTCATCACTTGGTGTAGATTGCATATCCACATCCGAGTCATCCGCTCGCAGAGCAGCGCGTTCAGCGCCATGCGGTTCAGCGTCCACAGTCATCACCCCTTCTTCAACGCTATCCGATTGTTCCGCTGCTTCTATCAGCAAAATATGGTGAGGCTCCATGGCATTGCCATGAGCTTCTTGCTCCTGCTGGTGCGGGTCCATCTCATTCAATTCCAGTATTGGAGATTGGAGTTGACGTCGTGGCAGCGTATCAACGCAACTGCGTCTCGCTGGGGCTAGCTCAACAGCATTCTCAGCCGAAGCTGGCGGTGAGCTACGACGTATTTCAGCTCTGAGAGGCAACGTCACCGAGTATGGCGACTTCTTGAAGCTAGCTGCTCGTGTTGGCGGAGCTTCAGCGCGTTTTCCACGGGCAATGTAAAACTTCCGCCCATACACCAACTGATTGGTAACGAAGCCACGCACTTTTTAGGCACGAAGGGGGCTCTTCTTGCCCAAAGTAAAAACGCCAGGTTGGTGTAGCCACATGAGCGTTCATGTTGACGTCTCGCGGCGTCAAGAAAAACGGTCTTGCCCCAAGCTGGGCTAAGCCCATAAAGAGATCATTGGCGACAGCCGTGGACCGCACTCCGAAGACGTCCAAGTAGAACTTGCTGTCAAACGGAGACTGGCGCTTGATCTTGAACTTGCGGCCGACGAGGTTCACTTCCTGACCGACGAGTCTCTTCTCGGCCTCAGCAGAGCGAACGTGGACGAAGATTCCACCAGCTGGGGCCTTCTCCGCCAGAGCTTCTTCGTAGCGCGAGAGGAGTTCTTGAACAACTTGATTCCCGTGATCTTGGAGAAACGAGTTGAACACGACAGGCATCGCTACCGACGCGCAGTACGTTCCGGAGTCGATGACAACGACGTGCGTTGTTGCCGGCGGCGTGAACGGACGGTTCTCGGTGACGAGTGCGAGATAGTCGGCCGCTGAAGTGTCGCTGCGCTCGTACGCCTCGACTAGACGCGCTGCATCTTCATCAGACAAGCGCGGCTCCGACAGCATCGACTTGGAATGGCGCACGCGCTCGTATTCCTGCGAGCGGAGGTGCAGAAGACAAAAACTTCTCAAAACATGCCATGGAGACCATTGTTCTCAGAGGGAGAGGGTTAGAGGTCGTTCTTCTAGGAAGCTAGCAAAACGATTTGTCGAGTGGGGCGGGTGAGGGGAGGGGCTCACCTCTCGCTCGCCATGGCCTGCTGCTTTGTATAGTGGCACTGAATCAGGAGTGCTGGATCCGACCCGTTTCTAAACGTCTGGTTCCAAATCTGGAAAGCTGTGGCTGTTCGTGTGTCAAACTGTGAAATCTTATTCGTGAAAATCACTTTCATATGATCGGATCAAACTATGAGTATAGATAGATATAGATAGATAGGGAGGGTAAAGGCTCGGGTTTAACACTGTGTGGACTTCATGAATGAAAACAGCAACGTGTATTGACAGCGCAGCAATTCAAAATGGAGTGGGTCTATGCAGATTTGGAAACGCGGGCCACGGACAACCAGCGAAGACGTCGCCTTACCGGCCAGCCAGTAGTACCGATCCACCGGAGGCAGTTGCCATGCGATGGACGTGAAAGCGGCGGCACGATGTCGAGCCGACGCTAGCTCGTATCCGACGATCGCCCCTCCGACTTGGCGGCACCAACCAACGCTAGGTTGGTGTGCTAAGCGTGGAAGCGTTCAACAGGCGGCTGCGTGGAGTGCTGGTGGTGCGGCGAAAGAGGTGGCGCGGGGGTGTCATGCTTCCTACTTGGCTTCGGGTGTCGCTGCGGGTGGTCGTTCTCCGCGATAAACTCGCGCACCACCGCCGCCGGTCGTGGCATCGGCGGAGCAGAGGTAGGTGGGTGGGTCTTCCGCGGGTGTCGCGAGTGGCGAGGCGACTTGGGGGCGCTGTCCGCCGGCGCCCCATTCACTGGCACACGATTCGGCTCTGCTGCTTCACGAGGCTCCGAGAGCAGCTCGCGCCCACCCGCCACAGTACCAGGCTCTCGCTCATGCTCGTGTGCGGTCGGCTTACGGCCAATGCTTGACGGGTGGCTTGTTGCAGGGTGCTGCTGACGCGAGTGGTGAGGAGAGCTGGGCGGCGTGGCAGTTCTCCTCGGGTGTTTGACATCGTCTTGTGCGTCAACACCGTCGAATGCCTCGCGATGAATTGCATGCTGCGGCCCGGTCGTCGGTGGGTGGCTCATTGCCGGGTGCCACTCGTCGTGCTGCGGCGATCGTGCCTTGGGCGTTGCCGCTGCCTTCGGCCTCTGCTCGTGTGAATATTCAGACGTCGAGACGGATAGCCGCGCTGGTATGGCAGCTTCCGTCGGCTGGTGGCTCGTCGAGGGGTGGTGGTGCAGCGTGTGGGGTGACGCAGACTTGGTAGCGGCGAGCGGCGACGTCGGAGGCATACGGTTGTCGCCGCCGCGCAAGTTGTTCCGCGCTGGCGCGTTGGGCTCCGTCCCAACGGTTGGGTTGGTCGCGGAAGCCAGACCCACGAGCGCGGCGACGACGAGCGTTGTCATGAGCTTCATGGTGGTAGGGGGGAGTAGTTGGTGGTGGTGGTGTGGGGAGCGGTTGTGGTAGGTGTCTGCGGCTAGGCAGAAGAGTCCTTGGGTCTTGTTGGACCGAGTAGGTAAGTTGAGGAATGAGGCTTGCCTGCACTGCGGACGGAGTAAGGCGAACCGAGTACTTCCCGGCACGTACGGCCGCCGTGGACGTTTCACAGACATGGACACTGCTTTCACGAACGGGAGCTTTCAGCAACCCCGCTCGATCAGCATCGTGCGTGATGCAGTCTGCACCTGAGGTTTCGCGGGGGGCTACGACCTGCGCCCGCAACTGAATGAGGGAACGAATCCTCTCCGTCCGCAGTGCAGGCAAGCCTCATTCCTCAACTTACCCACTCGGTCCAACAAGACCCAAGGACTCTCCTGCCTAGCCGCAGACACCTACCACAACCGCTCCCCACACCACCACCACCAACTACTCCCCCCTACCACCATGAAGCTCATGACAACGCTCGTCGTCGCCGCGCTCGTGGGTCTGGCTTCCGCGACCAACCCAACCGTTGGGACGGAGCCCAACGCGCCAGCGCGGAACAACTTGCGCGGCGGCGACAACCGTATGCCTCCGACGTCGCCGCTCGCCGCTACCAAGTCTGCGTCACCCCACACGCTGCACCACCACCCCTCGACGAGCCACCAGCCGACGGAAGCTGCCATACCAGCGCAGCTATCCGTCTCGACGTCTGAATATTCACACGAGCAGAGGCCGAAGGCAGCGGCAACGCCCAAGGCACGATCGCCGCAGCACGACGAGTGGCACCCGGGAATGAGCCACCCACCGACGACCGGGCCGCAGCCTGCAATTCACCGCGAGGCATTCGTCGCTGTCGACGCAGAAGTTGACGCGAAGCAACCGCGCCTGCACCACCACCCGGCAACGAGCGTGTCGCCCAGCAACGACCGGAAGCTAGCCAAACCGGAGCATGAACGGAAGCCTGTCGAACCGGCAGGTGGACGCGAGCTTCTCTCGGATGCTGGCGACGCAGTAGAGGACAACTGGGTACCGGTGGACGGCGCCCCCAAGTCGACTCGCCGCTCGCACCACGAGCCGACGAGTCCTCCGCCAACCACTTCGCCGCCGATGCCACGCCCGGCGGTGCCGCGCGAGTTTGTCGCGGAAACCAACAAGCCGAAGAGACACCCGAAGCCTGCCAAAGCACGACACCCCCGCGCCACCTCCGTCGCCGCACCACCAGCACACGGCGCAACCGCCCGTGGCCCGAATCCACGCTTAACCACGCCTAGCGTTGCTAGCTGGGCTTATCTCGGATAACCAGCAGCTCGACTCTGCTCAACATGGATGGCATGACACGACTGTCTGGCAAGGCCGCGCTTTGTTTGTTGGCTGTGCCTCCTGGGCATCAGCCACCCTGCAAGGCTCGATGCTGAAGCGCCGTGCTGCTAATACATGTTGCGGTTTTCATTCATCAAACACACAGCGTGAAACCTATGCAAGAGTTTGAAAAGATCTGCGCAGCCTTGACCCAAGCGATAGTCATAGTGGCACCGAATGGCAAGCGCCAACAAGTCGTTTTGAAGTCCACGTGAGCGACGCAACCTTCGCTGCACAGCATTTTGCCACCTTCCAACGGCAAAGTTTCAGCAGGTTGTTGTCGTGCATCAGAGAAGACGTTTGACTCAGTAATTCAGTTTGGCTGCATTCATCCAATCCACTGCCAACTGGTGCAACTATGATGTTATTGAAAATCCGATCAGAGGATTCCTCTCCTTGGCCCCAGGAACAAATCTCACAGTATTTCATCTGATAGTTCTTCCGCATAACTACTGTCGCAAGCTTGCGTCGAAAGCACCGTCGTAAGCGTCTTCTGTGCCCAGGTACTTGTACTTCAGTTCGCTTGGCGTGGTCAAATTGAACGGTGGCATCTCATCCACGCACGATCTATCCAGCTTTTGCAAGTTCCCGCCGCTGCTCACATAAGACGCAAGCAGCCTCATACCGCAGGTCTCACTTGAGTAATCGTTATCGACGAGGAATGACCACAGCAACGCTACGTGGTTTGTATCATCGAAGCTGATCAGCTCCTTGTTGTCACCGTCGAGTATATCCAGCAGCGTCCGGGCGTATTTGTGTGGCGTCTTGGCGTCCATCCTGCTGCTTAACAGTAGCACACTGGCTTGACTGGGAATTGTTGCTGACTTGTTCCAATACTCATCGCGCTCGTACAAGATTGCATTCGCCTCGTAGTCTCCAAAGCCCAACTGTTTGCACCATTCCGATTTATCCTTCGTGAAGGCGCAATACACCGGAGCCAGGATGTAAATCGATCCGTCCGACAGCTTCGTGCCGGCAAACCGGGCGTTCATTTCATCCAACGACGGACCAGGCACCTCCCACATCTCCGAGAACATGATGAGGTTCGCCAAGAGGTCGGACGAGTACTCGTCTGACTGGGCGGGGCTGCCACCGCCATACCGAACGTTGAAAAAATTGGTCATGACCTCGACATCTTCAGCCGAGCATCGACTCAGTCTGTAGACGATGGGCGGAATCAATGTTCGCTCCCCCGGTCCCGGGAGAAGGTTGCCCAGCGTCTTCCGCAACTTGAACGACGCCGTCGCATTGCTCTTTTTTGCCTTGTTGTTCACCAGTACCGCACAGGTCGAATCGGGATGCTAGTCGAATCGCTTGATGAGGCGTTTGAGCATGTTTGGCAGACTTTTCTTCGCGAAGTGGGATTTGCATACGCGGTCTTTGGCGCACAACGACAAAACGTGGTCACCCACCTCGCCAAAGTCTCGCTCGTAGGTTGAAAAGTACTCGAATTTGTCGGCCGATGCTCCTGGGGTGGTTGAAATGCCGTCCATCACGTATCCAGTCACCTCGGGAGGGGCCAGGTGCATCAGACGTTCCACCACAGCCGTGCCGTAGCTCGCACCGTACACAATCGAGCTGGCGCCGTTCGTATACTTAGAGATGAGAGTCGCCAGATCGGTAGCGGCACTTGTGATGGAGAAGGCAGACAGGTCGGAGTACTTGAACTCCAGTGCTTTCGCGCAAGCAGCCACCTCGCTAGCATTAATATAAGAACCATCGGGGGAGCCGCTGGTTTGAACCTGAGCGGCCACACAATCGAGTCGCGTGCTACGTCCAACGCCACGGTATTCCATGGTGTACACGTTCGCCGTCCCGTTGAGTTTTGCGTGCAGATCTGCCATAGCCTGCTCAACTGTACACGAAATGTTAGGAATGTAGGATTAGAGACAAGAAGGCTTACAGAGGTCGATAAACAGTACTTACAGCCACCCCCGGACCGCCTTCTAGAAGCCAGTCGTTGGCCGCCTTGTCGGTATTGGCGCCCACCGCTGGAATTCGCTTCACGAAGACGTCGATCGTTGAGTCTTCGGACTCGGAGGAGTCACAAATACCAGGGTAGCACAACGGCGCCATGTAGATAGCGCACTCGGCTATCTGACCGGTCGAAGGCCCGTAGGCCGATTCGGTAAACTTGGCGCACGGATACCAGCCATCCAGTTGGTTGGTCGTCGTTGCGTTGGCCACTGTGGAGACTTGGGCAATCGCCATCGCCAACCTGACGAGCTTCATGGCGGCTGAAAGGATGTGCGTAGTCAAGAGGCCAAAGATCCAGGAATGAAAGACAGGATAGAGCTCCATGCGGCGTGGACTGTCTACCTGTATCCCAGCTGCAGCGGTCGTTGTGACGAGGTTTAAAGTCCGGTGGATGATTACTTTGTATGATGTTGCAGAAGCATGTTTTGCGCTATACTGTAGTAACTGAGCATAGCTATTGTCCAATCGAAGGGTACAGGGAGCAACAGGTGCTATGTGATGTTGCATCAGTGTTGCATGATGTCTTCGTTCTTGTCAGCCATTCGGTTTTGGTCATCCAAAACGCGTTATAGCAATTCTGGCTTCTTTTGGCCATCTTTTTCGCCGTTATGGTTTACTCAGACGATCGGGATGCATCTTCATCCACTAGTCCATGTTGGGGCTCAATGAGGGCTTTTCACTGTCATGTTGTAGATGGTTTGAGAACTCCTCAAACTGTTTTTCTTAAATATAGGCACCGTCGTGAAAGTCCCCGTTCTGAACACAGAACTAGTTTTATATGTACCAACAATTAAAAGGAGGGCTCAAGCTTCCGGTCCACCTTGGAGGAACCAGACGTTAGTTGCCTCTTCAGCTTTGATTCCTGTAGCCAGAATTCGCTTCACGAAGATGTCGATCTTCGCATCTTCAGACTTGAGGGGGTTGCAAATGCCAGGGTAGCACAAAGGCGCCTTGTAGATGGCACACTCTGCCTTCAGACCGGTAGAAGATCCGTCATCCGAATCGGTGAACGCAGCGCACGGATACCAGCCATCCAGTTGGTCGGTGGCCTTCGTGGTTGTTACTGCAGAGATTTGGGTGATTGCCACAGCCCACCCGAAGGCGCGACGAAGCTTCATGGCAGCTAAAAACGCCTAGGTCGTTTGTTGGAGGCAGTACATTCAGGAATAAAAGCGTAGCACAGGACTCTGTGCGGCGTGAAGCGCCTATCCGAGTTGCAGCGGTCGTTGTGACGGGGGTTAAAAGTCGGATGATTACTTTCAATGATCTAGCAGAAAGCTGTTGCATGCTTTGCGCTATATACTACATGTAGTACAGTAACTGTGCATACCTATTATCCATACGTAGGGTAAAGGGCTATGTGATGTTGCATCAGTGGTGCATGCTGGCTTCGTTCTTGTCAGGGATTCGGTTGGACATCCAGTACGCGTTATACTTGTTCTGGCTTCTTTTCGTCATCTTTTGTGCCGTTATGGTTTACTCAAACGATCACGTACCCCTTCCGTGTCTGCATCTATGCGTGAGGATTCTTGTTGTGTGTGTGTGTGTGTTTTTTTTTTTAATGTTGTGCATCGTTTGGCGCTGTTGGATATGTATAATAAAAAGCACCTCTCTACACGACTTTGGCGGGCAATCACTTAGAAGTCGATCCAACAGACCAGAACTCCTGGAACTAGAGCGGTGACTTATCTAGCGAGGCAACTCCAAACTCTGTATTTTTCAAAAGTATCAAGGCCCTCAAAGCTCCTCAATCTATAACTGGGATAGTTCTCGAGCACCTTCACTTCCCTACTGTAGCAAACTCGCGTCGAGCGCGCCGTCATAAGCATCTTTCGTGCCCAGGCAGCTGTATTGATCCTCCCTCGGCGTGGTCAAATTGAGCGGTGGCATCTCGTTCACGCAAGATTTATCCAGCCTTTGCAAGTCTCCCCCACTAGTCACATAGGACACAAGCAGCCTCATACCGCAAGTGTCACTCAACGAAGCGCTGTCGCTGAGCAACGTGCCCCCAAGAGTCCCGTGCGTCGAGTAGTTGAACGTGATCAGCTCCTTGTTGTCTCCTTCAAGTGCGTCCAACAGATATTCGGCGTATTTGTGCGGAGTAATTCCGTCCAATTTGCTGCTTAGCACAAGAGTGCTGGTTTGACTGGGAATCGCGACGCTCTTGTTCCAGTATTGGTCGCGCTCGTACATGACCGCCCTCGCTTCGTAACTCTCGTAGCCTAATTCGTCGCACCACTGCGCTTTATCCTTCGAGTACGCGCAATACATCGGAGTCAGCTGGTAAATGGTTCCGTCCGAGAGCTTCGTACTGCCGAATCGAGCATTCATTTCAGCCACCGACGGTCCCGGCAACTCCCATAGCTCGGAGAACATGATAAGCTTGTACAGCAGGATCGACGTGTACGCGTCGCTCTCTCCACCAGAGCCGGTGACAGAGTTGATAAAGTCGTAAAAGTTGCTCATGACCTCGACATCTTCAGACAAGCAGCGATTCAGCCGGTACACGACGGGAGGGATCATTGTTCGCTCCACCTCACTGTTGAGCATTGTCCCGAGAGTCTCGCGCAACTGGAACGAAGCCTTCACGCTGCTCCAGCTGCTGGTTTTGTTGCTCACCAGCGCAGCACATGTCGAGCTCGGATCCTTATCAAACTGCACGAGGAGGTCCTCAAGCGTGTCCGACAGACTTTTCTTCGAGAAATGGGTACTGCATGCGCTGTCTAGTGCGCAGAGATTCAAGAAATGGTCGCCAACCTCACCAAAGTCCGTTTCGTACGTTGAAAGGTACTCAAACTTGCCCGCTGGAGCTCCTGGCACGGAGGCAATGCCGTCCAGCACATACCCCGCCACCTCGGGAGGGTTCATATGCATGAGACGTGTAGCTAAAGTTGATCCGTAGCTCGCTCCGTACACAATCGTGCTGGCGCCGTTCGTGTACTTGGAAATGAGCGTCGCCAGATCAGTAGCGGTACTTGTGATGGAGAAAACTGCCAAGTCGTTGTACTCGATCTCCAGCGCTTTCGCATACGCAGCGATTTCGGTAGGGTCGACGTCCCTACTGCTTGGGGATCCGGTCGTCAGAGCTTGCGCAGCCACACAGTCGAGCAGCGTGCTACGTCCAGTGCCACGATAATCCAGGGTGTACACGTTAGCAGTTCCGTTGAGGTTCGTGTGCACGTCCAGTACCAGAGACTCCCCTGTAGCGTTGAAAGAAAAATGAGGACGGACAAATATGAGGTTAGCTCTGAAGAAGACGTCAAAGGTTAAGGGACAATGACTACTCACGGGAAGTGGATGCTCGGCCCAAGCCACCAGTTAAAACCCAAACGTTCGTTGCGTTGTCGGCATTGCTCACGGCCGGCAGTCGCTTGACGAAGATGTCCATCTTGGAGTTGTCGGATTCGAGGGGGTCGCAAATGCCAGGGTAGCACATTGGCGCGGTGTAGACAGCACACTCGGCATTCTGGCCGGTAGAAGTCCCGTCATCCGAGAAGGTGAACTCGGCGCACGGGTACCAGCCATTCAGTAGGTTGGTGGCCGTCGTGTTGGTTCCTGCAGACAGACACTTGGGCAATTGAAATTGTCAACCCGATGACATGACGAATCTTCATGGTGCAGCGAATTCCGCAGTAAGTTTTGACCTGGGACCGGATAATTTGGAAATGAGAACTTGAACACCTCACTGCAGAGGGCGTATCCGAGTTGAGGTTCTCGTTGTGGGGAGGCCCGGCTCATGAAAACAGACACGATGGGTGATTATTCTGCGAAACAAAAATCCGTCGCAAGAAATGGCATACGACGGGAAGGAATGCAATTGAAGTGAAAGATCGGCAGGTGCTGGATGATGTTAATCAGTGGTGTGTGTAGTCTTTGTTGTTGTCACCGGTCCGTCCATCCATTACGCGTTATACCGCTTCTGGCTTTCTTTCTTCCGCCATCCTTCTTGCCGTTATCGTTTACTCTGGAAGATGAGGTTCGGTCCGTACATGTACCCCTTGTGATCCTGAAGCCATCTTTTTCTTTAATGACTTAATAAATTTACTATTTTAAGAACTAAAATCTGACTTGGTTTCCATCACATGTGGAGGTTAATTTTCCGTCGCTGTGTGTGCTACTTCGGTTACCTTCGATTCATTTTTTTTTCTTGCGGAGAACGGTACTTCTCTGAAGGTAGGACGAGAATTCATCTCGAGGGAAAAGGTAATCAACATGCGCACACAAACTGCGGTGTACTGCAATGCGTGTCATGGCATTCTTCATTCTCTCTCAACTTCCTTCTACAGCCTCTCATTTTTTGGCTGACCACCGAAAACTTAGATCAGACGGTTGTAGGCTTCACTGCGCGAGAACCTCGAGACCACGTTGCTGATCACGGTGCCCAGTGCAATGAGCGCCGCGAATAGTGCAAAAAGAGAAAAGCTAAAGCCCTCGTTCTGAACACCCGCGGCCTCCACCTCCTTCTCCTCCGCGGTGCGAAGCGCCACCGTTTCGATCTCCTCCGAGTTCTCACTCAACCCCGTCGTCGTCTCAAGTGGCAGCTCCTCGGACTGCAACGGCAGGTTGCTGAGCACGACGTCAGCCGTCGAGTTGATGGGGTGCGAGGTCGCAGCTCCCTTGGCGAAGGGCACGATCCCCCAGAGAGAACCGCCATACAGAGGCGTCGTCTGCGAGAAGACGAGCTCCTCGTCCGAGATGTCGGGGTTCACCCAGTGGCAGTCGGACTCAATGCCGAGGTTGTTGACGCCGCGCACGATCTTGAAGAAGCCCTTCATGCCCCAGTAGGTCCCCCACGAGTTGCGCACGTTCCAGAACTTGGTGCCGTCGGCCTCCTCGCCCCAGCCGACGATCTCCACGTCGTGGTCGATGTCCAGGAAGCCCGTCTTGTCGTGGAACACGCCCGCCGAGTAGTTGAAGGTGAACTCGTCGCTGCAGGCAATGCCGCACGTAATAGGGCCCTTAAGCAGCTCCTTCATCATAGCGTGCTCCCCCGCCACGCGGCCGTACTCCTTGGCTCGGTACCGCACCACCGTCTTGACCGGGAAGCAGTGCGGACCCTGTGGGTGGTCGGGCGTCGTGATGCAACTAGCAGAATACAAAACAGAGCACAGCAATTAATATCTGGCTTGCCAAGTTGAAGTTGCCTTGGCTACGTACTTCATGCAATAGCCCTCCGGGGGGCACGTGCCGTTGGTGTCCGTGTACTTGCGGTAGTCCGTGGCGCTGTAGGGCACGCACGTCTCGTCCGGCAGTCCGTAGTGGTGCATGAACTCGAAGACGTCGGACGGCTCGCCGCCCCCGCAGCCGTCCGACAGGCCGTGCGCCGGCCCGCAGTTGAGGAACGTCTGCCGCCCGAGCTGCACGTCCGGGCCGACGCGGCCCAGCGCGCGGTGCATCATCTTGATGCGGTCCTGCGCCGCGGACAGCGCCCCGTGGGCGAAGCACGAGCCGCAGTACTGCGGGATGTGCTGGTTCCACGAGGGCGTGCACATGCCACGCTCGCACCAGTCCAGCTGCTTGGGGAGGGCTCTGAGCTCGAGCACCTGCGCCTCAGTGAGGGTAGGTAAAGAGTGCGCCTTCGGGTGCAGGTGCTCGCGCTGCTTCCACGTGCGAGAACACATCGGCGCGGCCGACGAGGGAGCGGACAGCGTCGCCAACGCAGCGATGAGGAGGGGGAAGGAGAAGGAGCGCTTCATCTTGAGCGGCTCGGAGCGCAAGTGACGTCTGCAGGACGGACGCCATGCTGGTCCGATTTGATGGCTAATCAGTGCACGGTCTCATCCAACAAAGAAGATGCGCTCCTTCTCTTCAGGGGGGGGGGGGGGGTCTGTACGATAGACTGCAGTTTGTAGCCATCACTGTCCAGATTGGTCGCGGTTATGAGGAGGGGGGGGGTCTCAAAATTTAAAAACGTGACAAAAAGACGCCGTCCGACAGTTCGTATCCGTGTTGTCATTGAATATGTTTGAACGAAAGTTGCTCTTCAATCCCGAGTGCTGCTCCACTTAGTTGTAGACAGTCGTCACGGTCGCGTTGAAGGTGCCGTCGTAGGCGTCGTCCGTGCTCAGGTAGATGTACTGGTAGTCGATTGGCGTAGTGAGATTGAGCGGCGGCATCTCGTCCAGACACGACTTGTCCAGCTTGTCCAGGTCTCCGCCGTTGCTCACGTACGACGCGAAAATATCCAAGCCGCACGTCTCACCCGTGTAGATTCCATCCACGAGGAACGACCACGACATAGTTCCATGCTCCGTGTAGTTGAACGTCACCAGCTCTTTGTTGTCTCCTTCAAGAACGTCCAGCAGCGACTCGGCGAACCTGTGCGGCGTCTTGGCGTCCAGTTTGCTGCTCATGAGCAACACGCTGGCTTGACTGGGGATCGTGGCGCTCTTGTTCCAGTACTGGTCGCGTTCGTACATGATCGCGTTGGCCTCGTAGTCTCCATAGCCCAAGTCCTCACACCACTTGGAGTTATCCTTCGAGAACGCGCAATACACCGGCGCGAGCTTGTAAAACGTCCCGTCCGAGAGCTTTGTGCTACCAAAGCGGGCATTCATTTCAGCGACCGACGGGCCGGGGAACTCCCACATCTCCGAGAAGACGATGAGGAAGAAGAGCAGGTTCGAGTTGTAGATCTCGTTTTGAGTGGTGTAGGTCATGTCGGAGTTCAGAACGTCGAGGAAGTTGCCGATGCTGTCGACGTCGTCGGGCGAGCAGCGGTTCAGTCTGTAGACGATCGGAGCGATCAGTCTCCGCTTCTTGGGGCTGTTGAGAATGTACCCCAGCGCCTCCCGCACCTTGAAAGACGGCTTCACGTCGCCCCACGTAGTAGTTTTGTCGGTCACAAGCGCAGCACAGGTCGAGTTGGGGTCTTTGTCGAACTTGGTGAGGACTTCTTTAAGCGTATCTGGCAGACTTTTCTTCTCAAAATGGGAGCTGCATACGCTCTGTTGCTCGCAGAAGGACAAGAAATAGTCTCCGACTGCGCCGTAATTCACGTCCCACTGTGAAAAGTACTCAGATTCGTCCGCTGGAGCGCCAGGCGTGGTCGAAATGCCGTCCATCACATATCCAGTCACCTCAAGAGGGGCCAGGTGCATCAGGCGTTCAACCACTGCCGACCCGTAGCTCGTGCCGTACACGATCGTGCTGGCGCCATTCGTGTACGTGGAGATGAAGATTGACAGATCAGTAGCGGCGCTGGTGATTGAGAAGGCAGCGAGGTCCTTGTACTTGAACGACAGCGACTTCGCACACGCAGCCACTTCCGTGGGGTCGAAGTCTCTGCCCTTGGGGGAGCCTGTTGTCTGAGCCTGCGCGGCCACACAGTCGAGCATCGTGCTCCGTCCAGAGCCTCGATGGTCCATGGCGTACACATTCACCGTTGCGTTGAGCTTCGCGTACAGGTCAAGCATCATAGACTCCACTACAGCATTTGCAAAGTAAATATTAGATTAGAGCTGGGGGGGGGGCTACAAAAACGCTTAAAAATCATACTTACAGGAAGACGACCCGCGTCCCGGTCCACCTTCCACCTTCCACCAGCCAGACGTTGGTTGCCTTGTTGGGGTTGTTACCCCCAGCCGGCAGACGCTTCACGAAGACGTCGATTTTCGAGTTGACCGAGTCACAGATGCCAGGGTAGCACTGCGGCGCATTGTAGACAGCACACTCTGCATTCTGACCGCTGGAAGTTCCGTCGTCCGAGAAGGTGTACTCCGCGCACGGGTACCAGCCGTTTAGTTGGCTTCCGGCCGTGTTGGACCCCGCGGCGATGTGGGCAATTGCAGTCGCCAACCCGATGATGAAAGGGGTTCGCATGGGCACCACGAGCCGGTTGAGCGAGTTGTTGGTAAATGTGGGAATGAAAGCATGGGTATCGTCGTTTACGGACGAATGGATCGTCACACCCATGTCAACACGGCATCCTTGTCGTATCCGAGCTGGAGATGTCGACGTTACGATGTCCAGTTCACTGTGCCAGGGCTAGAGGAATACAAATCAAAAAAAAATCAACGGGATTTAGAGTAAACTCTTGTAACGGCAAAAATGATGACAAACAGAAGCCAGAATAGGTATAACGCATATTGGATGACCAAACTGAATTAATGTAGGATAAGAGTATTTTGGCTACGCGAACACGTAAATAATTGCAATCATTGCATTAAGAGTATTTTGGCCGGACACCCCACCCCTCATACAGAGACTGCAGGGGCATGGCTCAATCCGCAACGCGAACGCAAGGACTACAGTGAATTATACCCAATCACAGAGTATTAGCCCCAACAAGTTTTATCCTTAAAATAAGGACAGAAACAAACCCGGCGGCCTCGATTTTGGGAACATTTTATCCTTAACTGGCCGGTTAAGGATAAAACTATCTTAACATTTGTATGCACCCACTTAAGTACGGTTCCAGAGAGCTGACGGTGGGCGTCCATTGGGCGCGAAGGGTCGCCGACGGTTTCACTTGTTTCTACTATTGACCGAGCTATTTTTGTCCTTAACTTAAGGAGGATACGCTCCGAATGACCTTTTTGGTGGAGCTGCTGCGCGAAGACGCCACAACTCTAGCACATACTGATCCGATCCTCGTGTAGACCGAATGCAGACCTTTCTATCCATACCTGACATTGCTTCTTACATGTTAAAATGAGGTCAACCGGGCTGCCCCAAATTTGGTCCTTACTTTTATCCAAAAAAAATCTTGTTGGGGTTAGGGTTAGGTTAAGTGTGTCCCAGCTTATTTCCGGAATTGCTCGGAATCGCAAGGAATTATCTAATAAGAAAGTATACAAACATTTATATAGACTGCAACTTATCCGATAATAGCACTGCTCTGCCAGAAAGACAGGCAATTTAAAGGTTCGATAGTTTGCGATGGTTTTTAAATAGATTATAGCTGAACTCGTGCTCATTCTCGATCTCCCGCAACAGCCACGATGCGGAGGGCATCACGCGGGCTTGACACTCCAGCTGGCACGATCAGCCAGGAGCTAGCTGCCGAGAAGCTTTTCGAGGAATTTCTTAACTCCATGAGCCTGACTAAGGCTTCGCTCGATGATATACATCAAGCGCATTGTGATGATGCTAGTGTACCTACTCAAAACTTTTATTCATTGCTAACAGTTTTTTCAATCTTCATACAGACTCGAAAAAGTAACAGACCCCGTGCTGCCGACGGATTACTGGCGAAGGCAACAGGTCTTGGCTACTTCTCACAAGTCGTCAATCTCCTACGAGAGCGCTACACTACGTCGCTAACCGACTCCAAGAGGATCGCAAAAATCAGGGACAAGATGGCAAGTCACATTGAGGAACGCAATCTTCGCGCCAACGTTCAAACGAATGACGCCCCAGGGTGTACAATTGGTGATTTGTGTGGTCTAGTGGGATTTCTCGTGACTCATGCCGATGTAACAACTGGTCTTAAGTCTGTGCATGATGCTGCGCTTTTGACAATGATGTGGCATACATTTGGGCGGGCTATCGATACATGCTTCGCACGCAAGCAACAACTTTCAATCGCCGCCTCTGGAGAGCTTTTCCTGCATATCGCCCGGATTAAGACCTGGGTTGTACAGGGCGTGTCAATTTGTAAGTCACCCGAGCGCTGGCAGCAGTGCATGCTTCACGCGTTTGACCTGTTGTTCATATGCTACGATGAGCCCTCTGAGCATCTCTTCCCCTTGGCCCCACGGTTTGCTGAGTCGGACCTTCCTGGAGGCCAGCCTTATTTTCAGGAAGAAGCCATCATGTACTGGGAAAGGCTGCAGAAAGAGAACGAAAGAGGCGCCGAACCCCCGGAGAAACGAGAGAGAAAGCGGCCAAACGTAGCAAGTTACATTACCGAGATCATTAAGGATACCTTGAAGGCGATGCCGCCTTCGGCGAGCCAACGTATTATTTCGGGGATGACCAGCCATTCTCTTCGTCGCGGTGCTGCTGCGCATCGCCGAAGCTGGCGATCCAGTGGATATCAACCCGAGGCGCGTGGCTGCTGGAATCTTTGACGAAAGCATTTGCCTACCTTGGGACAACTTCAAAAGAATATCAGAGTGTGGCTAAAGTCCTGGAAGGGTTCCAATCTCCAGACTTACCCGCGACAACGCCGTCTATTTATGACCTCTACCAGCGACTCTCTGAAGCTGAGTATGGACAGCTCATGACACTGCGCGACGAGCTGTACCGCCATGTCCTTGGCTTTCACGATCATCGATTTAACATCGCGTTGGACGCGGTCGATGCGACGTTCGCCCCCCTCTTGATGCACCTCGAGTCCGTCCTCGAAGCCACAGAGAGCGCTGGGTCTAATGTGTTTGTTTGTCACTCGCTATGTCTACGAGCCGAACCGGGGCATCACGGCTGTAAACTAACGCTTAGGCTCCTATATAACAACGCGCAAATGTTGTAAGTGGGGTAAGCATCTGCGAGATCACTGGCAAACTACGAACCACGCACAGCTCGGTAACGCTGCTGCTGGCGGTGACTCGCTGCTGTCCTCGACGCTGGAGAACATGCTCACGCAATTGGTGAGCATCCGGCCGGCTTGAAGATGCGCACGCCCGACTGCCTCTTGGTTCTATCGACGCTCCACCTCCTTCCGCCAGCGCTTCATTCACTACTGCCGTCGAGCTCTCAGCTCCAGCGCCTGCAACAGCGTCGACGCTCGCGTGATCGCTGCTCAACTGGTATACTAACCACATCTGGGAAACCGTTAAGGGTAAGAAAGAGCAGAACAAACGAGCAGAGGCAAAGGCTGCGAGCAACATCATGGCAATACTTTACCAAGTGCCATTCCAGATACCGAAGCAACCCAGTCGATCCGATGTCGCGGCTTACCAGCACTGGAAAGACGAGATTTGGACGCTTGCCTTGGCCATGGACTCCACCGTCAACGCGCGGCTGCACTCCTTCGACCAAAAGAAACCTACACACAAAGCGTCTTCGTTACGCGAGCGCTGGCGCCAGCTGCGTACCTCGCATCCCGACGCATACCGCACGCTTGGCGCCCAATATTTAGCGCTCAAAGCCAGTGGCACTGTTGTGGACACTTGTACGCCTGCATCGCACCAATGGGGGGCTTCGGATCTGGCTTAGCGCTCGCCTACAAGCACGCACAAAGCACAAGCAACACACAGAGCACGATTGCCCCCGGCTGGAGTCGAACCAGCGACCTGGAGGCATAACCTCCCGCTCTGCCGCTGAGCTACGGGGGCGTGGAGAGTAAGACGACCTACCTCCGGAGATCCACAGCTGTCTGCGTCGCCACTGTCTGCCACGCTGTCGCTGTCCGCTGCCGTCACCGCCGCCATACCGCTGCGCACTCCATGCCGACCGCATTCTTGCCTCCGTCGATCTGCTGCTGCGCTGTTGTCCGCCGTGCTGCCTTTAGCCCTTTACACTCCCGCCCGGAATGAATAAGTCGACGTTGATTGGAACGAGGTTTTTTATGTGGCGCCAGTGTGGGTCTATTGCAGGCTTGACAGGTTCCGGATTCCGGTCCGAAATCTGCCAATTACTGTGAAAACAACAAGAATCCAACCACAACTGATGCGACATCATACATTACGTGGTGATCTCTTCTATCTGGTACAGCAGAGTGCAGTACTGTGCATTGTGTTCTCCAGCGAGCGAGGAACCGTAAAGCATGTTTAACAAGAGTAATCATCGTCATAACGACGGAAATATCTCTATCCAAGCTCTCATTTCCGAATCGACCGCCTTCGAACAACGAGGCGTCATGAAGCTTCGTAATGCCATCGGATTGGCGATTTCAGTTGCCCAAGTCACGGCGGGAAGGACCACGGTGACCACCGACCAGCTGAATTGCTGGTATCCGTGTGCCGAGTTCACATTCTCGGATAATGGGATTTCCAGCGGCCAGAAGGCCGAGTGTGCTATCTACATAGCGCCACTGTGCTACCCTGGCATCTGTGACTCCCCTGAAGACTCAGAGATCGACATCTTCGTGAATCGACTGCCGGCCGTGTGCAATGCCGAGAACACAGCTAATGTGTGGATTTTGACGGGCGGACCAGGTCTACCATCATCTACCAGTAAGTAGTACTTCACAATATTTCCCTGCAACGCTGCAATACAAAAGTCGCAATTGTCGGCACCTACCTTGAACTCGACAGAAGACGCGCTGATTTTAGATCTGCACACAAAGCTCAACGGAACGGCGCCTACACAATCGACTATAGTGGCGTTGGACGCAGCACGTTGCTCGACTGTGTGGCCGCGCAGGTTCAAACAACTTGTTCTCTCAAGGGTGGCAGCATTGACCCTACGGAAGTAGCCGCCTGTGCTAAGACGTTGTCATTTCCGTACGCCGATCTGGCAGCGTTTTCCATCACAAGCGCTGCCACGGACGTGAAAACTTTCATCGCCAAGCACACGAATGGCGCCAGCACGATTGTGTACGGCGTGAGCTACGGCACGACTGTGACAGAGCGGCTGATGCATCTTGCCCCTCCCGAGGTCACTGGGTTGCCAAGCCCGCTTGTGTAGTAGCTGGTAAAATGCGAACTGAGACCGATCCTGGCTTTACAAACTAGACATGTAGCGCCCTGGAGGAGGCCGTAGGAGGCTGAAAGTGTACCTAGGTGCTCTCTGAGCGAAGACTGACTGAACCTACTCACGCAGGCGATCCTTGCGTCACGGAGGACAGGCGCGGGTGACGACTGGGTGCGAAGAGAGATGTCAGGGTATGTACTGGATAGTATTTTCACGACGACACGTGCTTCCGCGGACAATTTCGCGTACTTCTCCCATGGGGAAATCAACTTTGGTGGGGTCGGTGACCACGTTTTGGATCTGTGTGCGGAGGACAACAATTGTCATCCCCATTTTGCGACGAAAAGTCTCCCTGAGACACTGGAAGACCTTCTGGTGCAATTCGATATGAACCCCAACTCGACCTGCGCTACACTGGTGTTCAACAAAGCCAGCAATCGCAAAGCAACGCCTTCGTTCAAGTTTCGGAGAACTCTTGGCTCACTACTTGACGATGAGGGTGGCGTACGCTGATCCCGCCGCTTGTCGACAGACTGAGTCGCTGTGCGCTCGACGACATTGACGTGCTCAACAATTTCTATGACGCTCTGCATAACGAGCTTCAGTCTACAACTCAGGGCGACGCGTAGGCTTCGGGCCAGTTGTACAACTTGATCGCGTTCTCGGAGATGTGGGAAATCCCCGGGTCGTCGGTGGATGAAATGAACGCCCGCCTTACCAGCAAGAAGCTGCCAAATGGTGCCTTTTACACCTTTCCTCGGGTGTATTGCGCTTTCACAAAGGATAAGTCCCTGTGGTGCAATAAGTTGGGTTACGGGAACTACGAGGCGAATGCAATAACGTACCAGCGGGATCAGTACTGGAACAAGAGCACTGTAATTCCCAGTCCAGCCAGCACTCTGCTGTTGTGCAGCACATTGGACGCAATTACCCCGCCCAAATTCGCAGAAAATCTGTTTGACGTCCTACAACAAGGAGCTGATCACGTTCAACCACACAACACACGGGATTGTTTGGGAGCCGTGCGGCATGAAGCTGCTTGTGTCCTATGTAGCCAATGGAGGAGCTCTTAAGCGGTTGGATAAGGCGTGTTGGACGAGATGCCGCCGCTCAATTTGACCACGCCTAGTGACATCAAGTACAAGTACCTGGGCACTGAAGATGCTTATGACGGTGCTTTCGACGCCACAGTATCCACCACCCCCGTCTCCTAAACAGGCTATTCGCGCTAACGGGCGTACGATGACTTGAATTCAGTCATACACCGCTAGATAGTAAACACGACAAATACTTCTACGAAGTCTGTTGTAACAGCATTCAATACCTAGAGTAAGTAGTCGCTTGATTGAAAGAAAAAAAACGTCATCGTCAAGTTATTGTTCGGGCTTCAATCCTGGACATGTTACGCGAATCCAAACGTATTCATACTCTAAAGCCCGACTCACAGCGAAGGAAGCACAAGGTATAAATTGCCCAGTTCGATCCTCCTCGTAGTCGTTAGCGATCGTATTTGACAAGATGGAAAATTGGGTTTTCGTCTGGGCACAAGCTGATTGGCTGAAATGGTGCGCCCGGACATTGTGGATTGCGGGACAAGTACAAGGATCTGGGACCCGGCGATGACTCGCCCAGGATGCATATCGACCAGCGACCCTGGCCGAGTCGCTAACTCATTTTTGCGACTCTGGCCGGGTGTAAGTCTGGGAGATACGATGAAGGTATACTCAAGTCAAGATGTTTCCGACCGACCAGGCAGACCGGCAAAGATTCCGTGGAACGTTGAAGGAGGTGATTTGTACCCACGACTCTACACTGGATTTTGGCTCAGCCGGGATGTCGACGTCAACCGCGGTATAGTGAAATCAAGTGAAAAGCAGAATGCATGTCTAAGTTACAGGAAGATAGCCACAGAGTAAAAGGGTAAACAGAGTTCGTTTTCCCCTCAAACCCACAAGCCGCCAAGAAGAGCAGGAAGCGCAGGATGACTGGGCACCGCGGGTGGTGGGATCTCTCCCTGAAGTAAATACGCCAAGTTAGGTAAGGGAACTGGGGCGTACAGGCGTCTCAGGGTGATCCGCCAATTTCATTTCCTAGTTGCAGCCGTATTCTCGCCCAGAGCGAGGTCCTGTATTTCATATTATCGATTACATCTCGGGCGGAGTGAATAGCGCCGCCTGGGACTTGGCTGGAAGCCTATTGTGTGGTAGGGTATTGATGTTGGTTATTTTCGCTCAGTACATTTGGGAGGGGTGCGCGTTTGAAGTCGCCCAGTGTTGACCAGGACTCTGGATACGACTCGTTAGTTGACTAGAGTAGTGATCCACCGTCCGAGGGTCCGAAAGAATAATTGACGGATATTTGTATTGTGTATAACTCTGTATTTGTGGTTATCGTCCAGAGTCGTAGGGGCTATGTTTGGAAGTACGTATCGCACCCCGCTCAGAAACCCAACAGTGTACAAGAACTCACCAACACGGCCGAGCTCCTTGGTTCGAAGACAAACGACCCGAGAGGGATTGTCACAAGGAACACACGCCATCTCGGGCGGACATCTTCTGGTGTATCCGCCTGAGAAGTTCTAAGGGACTTTGTTCTCCCGGAACATTCGCACACTACACACCTGGGCGGAAAAGGCGTTCACACACCTCGCCCCATATTAGCTAAGTGACAATAATGATCCTCAATTCAAAAACAAAGCAAAACAATTCGATTCTCACAAACTGTACAGCCCGTTCGAGTGTTGGGGTGTTTAATTCCCCTCCACTTGGGTAGGAATCCTGCAGAAGAAGAGAATGCAAGCATGTCAACCAGAAGTTGGTCCGATCGTTTGCGTTTATAGTTGAGGCTACAGTTTTTATTTTTTTACACTAGCGAAGTTTAAACTTAATCGGTCCGAATACAAAGCAAACGTTCTCAATTAGTAATCGTTACCGGATAGCTAAGTGACAACAATGATACTCCATTAAAAAAAACAATTCACAGCGAAACAACCGCCAGACAGAACTCCCTAAACCAAAGCTCTCCATGGACGCTAAGCAATATTAGTGAGCGAATGCCGGCGACTTTCTTATTTGTTGGATTGAAAATCAGGGGGGCTCTCGAATAACTCGCAGTTCGTTTAGAACTGTCGTTACATGCACATTTTACTGGGATAGGAAGCAACGTTAGTGCTGCTATCGCAGACCAAATCGGATTATATCCGTGGTACGTCAAGTCAAACGATGACCCCTGTTGACATCCAACTGGTATATTTTCTTGAAACCGGTACGACTCCGATGCCGCACTAAAGGTTTATATGGGTGGGCAGACTGAACCGGTGCACTACCGCCAACACCGGTATGGATTTCGGTATATGTTTGGATACGTATGAACGAAATGAAGTAAAGACTAAAGGTCAGGAATTGGATATTTCTACAAGCTATAAACAGATATTAACCAAGTTTCGCAGTAAAGCATTGCCGGTGGACAGTTTGAACTGGCAAATTTCCGGGCAGATGCTGCGGCTGCGAAGCAGGCGCAGGAGATGACCGTAGCTAATAAGAAAAAAATATAATAAAAAATAAAAAGAAGGAGTTTATACCAAAATTCTCCTGTCCCAGCCTTCGCGGAGCCCTAGTTGTCAGATACCGGTACAAATCAATTTGGAGTGATCGGCCAGCTGACTTGAATTATTTATGGACTTCCATTTGATACTAGGACCAAATTTAATAGGGTACTAACCGGGTGGTCCACACTACCAATCAACTTGAAGTTTGTGGTCTAACAATCGACAACTCGGACATCACTATGGCTTGGATTCCAAGTTGGAAGGAGCGGGATCGATCGACCTCATTTCCAATTTTTCTCGTTGGGGGTAAGCGTCATGACTAGAAACCACAGCTATTGCGACGGTGGTGACAGCGGCACCACTGTGTACAAAGCGATCTCGTCTCGCGGTGTGGAAGATTTGCTGTAGCATCTTAGCGGCGACCAGAGGAAGCAGTTGATCGGATGGAGTCGAGGTGTAACAGATATGAATTGTGTGGTGGGGATACATGGGGTGCTGGCAGTGGTAAATTAGGGGGGGGTAAAATTCTGGAGGTTTACGTGTTATGCTCTTGGTATTGCTAGGAGGAGACGGAGGAGGAGGGGCTTAAGCCCTACTACTGGGATCAACTGTGCCACACAAGGTAACCATTACGAATGGAGTGCTGGTCGAGTTGTTGAGCGCAATTAAATTATTGTGCCTTTCACTTATTCTGCCATGATAATTCTGGCATAACTCTAATCCCTTATCGACCTTAATTATGCCCCGAGTTAGCTAATTCCCATGTTAATTCCGGGTCGCCCATTCGTGGCCGAATTAGGAGCGGCCGAGTTAAGGCGGAATAAGCTAATCCAGCCTGCGTTAGGCGGAAACAGAGCGATTGGCGGTTTCCTACCCGCCAATCCATGCCATTCTGCTCGTATCTTCGTCGATTGGCTCTTAACCCTTCTAGCCCCAGATCTTATTCTGTATCCTACAGAATAAGAATTAGACTTGATTAAAGTATACTTCAAAACCTGTCAAAGATTTGCTGTTGGAAGCCCTTTCGCATCTTGCGGTCAAGCGCTGGGTACATTGTGGACAGAACAGCTACGAAAGTGAACAAAACATGCTCAATGTATCCACCATATGCCGGAATGGCGAGCTTCTATTGGTCGTGGCGAGCGTAGAGCACGCTCAAAACCTGCTACATGGTAATACCTTGCAAGGCTGCTAAGGCAGCATACTTCGGCTCCAGCCACCCATCTTCGGCACGTCGCGATAAACGCGGAGGAAGAATCGCCCTGTTCCTAACTGACGTAGTGAGGAGGAACTGGGCGAATTCTTCCTTGTGCTTGACATTAGCGCATCATTAGATTTCTTTAGCCCACCTAACAAGCTTGTTACGATTGTCTCTCTAACAACACCAGGGCGCTTGCATGCTCAATAGCCCGTAATGACACGCACTACACACGGTTCCTCTTGTACGAAACAGGACAATATATGATATTCATGCCAACGTCTACTTATTCCTTTACATGCGCACGCTCTTCAATGTTCGCGCCAGCCGTGGGTCATCTTCGCCATTTTGGCAGCCTCCGCTTTGCTCTGTAGCCTCCGGCACTGCCGCTTCATTCCTGCCGCTTTCATCGGTAGCCTCCGTCGTAGCCTCTGTCCCTTCTTCTGTAATCTCCGGTGTAACCTCATCACGCGATGAGCTTCTTCTGTAGCATCAGTCGTAGCATCTACCGCTTCTTCTGTAGTCTCCGGTGTAGCCACACCATGAGGAGCGCTTCTTCTGTAGCCTCTTGAGTAGCCACTGCATCAGCTACAATATAGCGGTAGACCCGGCTGTAGCCGGCTTCGTAGGAACCGATGAGGTTGTGCGCTGACTCCGCAATCGATCTGCCAATCGGGCCACACGCGAGAGCTCATAGCGTCGTCTGGGTCGGATCACCAGGTCTGGTAATCAATATCGCAACGTAGAATCAATATACCACTAGTACAATGTTACAGAGCAAAGTACACGCTCTCGCTTACCTGTAGATCACAATGGCGCTCATCATGATCGTCTTCGGCCATGGCCCTTGGCCACTTGGGCGCGCTCGACGGGCCCCAACAAAGCTTGCATTGCGACGTCTTGAACAGCGCAGTTTCGGAATGAAGGAAAGTACGAGTGGCTGACACGCGGCGGTTTTAGGCTTCCACCCGAATTTTCAAACCTGTTGGTGGTTTATACTCGTCCGTCTATTACCGCGGAATAAACCCCGTTTATCTTCCCATCGCTAATGTAACAGGAAGATGTGCACAATACCGGCTATACAAACATCCATATGCGAAGTTCGAAAGAGAGGACAAGTTTGCTGGATATTATGTCCTGTGACAATGCTTATTCTGTAGGATACATAATACGGGGATAGAGGGGTTAAATGCTGATCGCGGATGTTAGGGGAAGCGCTCACAATATTAGGCAGAATTAGCACTAAATAAGCGTTGATCGCCCTTTTATAACTGTAATTCCGCCTAAATTAACAGCTCACCCGCCTAAATACGCGAAAGGCACAATAACCGATCTCGAATTTCACGTGACGAACAGTTCGGTTGCTGCTGTTGCAGCAGGAGGGTCCAGCAAAGCTAAACGTCAGTGTATATCCCCCGCACGTTTACCCTTTCATGACGATACGTACATGGTTGAAGGTAATTTACTGCTGTTGTCAGCCTTCCCGGCGTGGTGAGTAGCCGTGATGACGGTTTTGACACTGGCACTAGTGCAGGTATTAAATACCACAATTTTTGTGAAATCGAGATGATGCCCATACGATGGTTTTGATACTTTAGCTATTGCATCAAGGTCTCGTCCAGGGCTGGTAAAATCTGTTCCTTGGTTTAAACCAATAGAGCCTAATAATGTTTATTTATAGAGAAAGCGTTGTCACTGATTCAATGGTTATTATCGCTGTTTTCATGTAGTTGCCTAGGCAAGGGCTCATTGTGGAATAATCCACGAAACAAGGAGAAAGTTTTGATGCCGAGGAGCTCTGGAATGCTTGTCCATCCTCTCTCCTACGTCGATAAGCTTTGTACAGGCTTGGCGCAACATTGCCACTGTCGATTGTTAAATTATGGTGTTCTTTAGGGTACATAATATGCCCCACGTAGAAACTTATTTATTGTTGCTGCTGTAGATCGGAGCCTTGGCCAGAGCAATAGCAGCATTATTGTCCGCACCTAATTGCAATTGGGTTGTCACATCAACTTCCTGTAGAGCTTCCTCCAGCATGTTGACAATGCCTCGACCTTCCATCGTGGCCTCACAAGCGGCGACATACTCGGCCTCCGCTGTCGACTGGGCGATAATAGACTGTCGCCGAGCTGCCCAGGCTACGGCACCACCAGCAATTGTCATCATGTATCCTGTGATGCTCTTGCAAGTCTCAGGGTCGTTGCCCCAGTCAGCATCACAGTATCAGCTAACTACGATCTTGTCAGCAATTTCATCACTCGCAGAGTACTGGATGCCCAGGTTTCTGGTTTGCACGAGGTAACGCAGGATGCGTTTTACCGCTCCGCAATGCTTCATCGACGGGTTTCTCACAAAGCGACTCAGGTAGCCGACGGAGAAAGCAATATCCGGGCGAGTACTCGTAGCGAGGTACATCAGCGCTCCAATAGCGGCGCGATAGTCAAATGACAGAGTTTCATCACCCTCGTGTTCATCTTTCGGTACAAACTTCGCGTTCGTCTCCATCGGGGTAGCACAGCCGTGCGCTCCATCATAACCAAATCGCTCAGCCACTTCTTGACATGGTGGATCCACACGCCTTTTGCGTCCTGTTCCACTTGGACGCCCAGGAATTGGTGGGCTATTCCGCCGTCCTTAAAACCATACTTCTCGTCGAAAGCGGCAAACAGGGACGTTTTGAAGTCCACGGAGTTCGTTGCGAGTACAACATCGTCGACGTAAAGCGGGATGAGAGCGAGAATGCCATCTCTGTAGTAGACGTACAAACACTTTTTAGTCTCCGTGTTGTGAAAGTCCATCGATCGAATTTGTCCACTTCCTCGTACCACTCGGCGCCAGACTGATGCATTCCATATAAAGCCTGGTTCACGCGGTAGACCTTTCCTTTCGGGCAAGGAAAACCAGGATGCCCCGCACAAACTGCTTGATCTTCAACTTGTCGTTTAGATAAGCTGTATCAGTATCACCCTGGTACAAAACGAGACTCAGCTTTGCCGCCAGTGCGGCTACCACTCGGAAAGTCACCATTCGTGCAACCGGTGAGAATGTCATGTCGTAGTCGATGCCAAGTTCCTGGAAGTCACCACGCCCAACCAGACGGGATCTCCGAGTGCAAATAAATCCGTCCACATCCGTCTTAGGCCGAAATCTCCACATCGTAGAGAGCAGATGCGCCTGGCTCGGCGTCTCACTTTCATCAATCATCTCCAACATGCCTTTGCTGAGCATTGCATCTACTTCGTGGCGCATGCCTGCTAGCCATTCCTCTCTCTGGGGTGAGCGCTTGGCTTCACCGTAATTGTGCGGCGTTTTCACGTCCTAGATGTGCCGTCGTGTTCCACTTGGTGCTGAAGTGGGGCTCACTGCGCGCTTGCGCTTGCAGTACCTCGCGTACACTTGGTAATATTCGAGTCGTTTTGGAGCTCTTCGTTCTGCTTCACTCCGGAGCGTCATCCACTGTGGCTGTCCTTGGAGGTCTCGCTGACGCTTGGCCTCTTGCACGTCTTCCAGCTCAGCCTCGACCGCAGATCGCTGATTACCTGTGAGAGTCTCTGCCACCATACAAATGTCCATACCGTTTCCAGCGTCAACAACGACGAGTTCATGCCAGGTGGATTCATTTTCGGCCGGAGTTGGGCCGCCACCCTCCGCGTCTTGTTCCGACTGATCGACTTGGAGACTGCCAATCATGTAGGCATCTACGATGTCGAGTCTGTCCCAAGGAGGTTGCCGGGTCCAGTCATCAGCACCTGGGCCAAATTGATGATGACTTGGCTACTCTTCGGCTGGCTCACCCTCGTTCACGGACATCGACAGCTCTTGCAAGGAAGGACTTGATGGGTCGGGCTCGCTCTCAGACTTCTGTGCCGCATCAATCTCTTCTCCCCCTTCAACATCTTCAATCTTGGCCTCGGCGTCGGCTGTGAGTTCCGTTCGCGGCTACAACTAGTTCCCTTTCGACTTGAGCCAGCAAGAGAGGGTCAGCAGGGGCCTTTTCTTCTAGTTCATCGCTGAGATAGCTTCGCGTCGTGTTTTCACTGTGTGCAGCGTGTTCTTGCATCGTCGGACTACTTGGTCTACGCCTCGAGCAACTTGTCGCGCTCGGGTACGGCCTGACGAACCTGGGAAGGCTGTGTACATCGGCATGTCGCTCCAGTCTTCGATCCCTACTTTGCCTGTTACGCTCTGGGTCGGTCCGCTCCACGCAGTGAGGCCACGACCTGAAGAGGCGAACACCCGCACGACTTGACACGCACTTGGTAGATATTAGACTGAGATCCTACTCCTACGGCTACACATGCACGTTGGGCAGCGTCTCCAGAGCTCCCAACCACTCGTTGCACTTCAACTCCTGTCCCCTCCCAGGACCTTGTATCTCCTTCCTTCGGCTGCTTCCAGGGCAGTGTCCGCACCGTCGCTCCTGCGACGCCCCCTCCAGTGCGGCAACGGCTGCAACCGGCGCCGATTCATAGCACGCCCCCTCCTGCGCACCGCGCCGGAACCTCTCACTCCACGCCCGCCTTGACCTCGTTGACGTCCTTGTCCTTGTCCTTGGCGTCCACGTCCGCGTCCATGCCCAAGCCTGGACACTCGCTGAAGCGATGGCCAGTCTGGTGGCAATTGAAGCAAGCCCCCTGCTTCCAATCCGCCGCTCGAGCCGCCCCTTGCGCTCCTTGTTGGTTTGCACCACTCGATCCTTGGCCGTCTGCACCAAGCAAACGGTCCTTCTTGTAACTCTCCATGCGGAGAATCTGGTCCATCTTCTTCAACCCGCTCTCCATCATGCCCTTGCGTCGGTCGAACCGCTCGTTCTTCGGCAATGACTGCACCAGCATCTGCGTGAAGATCATCCCTCGCACGCCCGCATTCAGCGCCTCCAACTGCGCCTTGGTCGTGACCAACTTGTCCACGTGCTGGCCGACGTCCTCACCCGCCTTGCACTTCGCCGCCTGCAAGCGGTTGAACAGAATGATCTCCTGGTTGGCCCGCGTGGCTGCATTCGTCTTGCCCTCGTAGATGTTCTCGAGATACTTCCACATCTCGGTGCCGGTCTTGTTCATCATCACCTGCTGCCCAATTCCATGGACAGCGACGCCTTGATGATCGACTTGATCTTCGCTTGAACTCCGTCAAACTCCGCCTGGTCCTTCGCGTCCGCGAGCGTCTTCTTGCCCGTCGCAAAGTCCAGCACGTCCCTGGCTTCGAACACGATCATCATCATGCCCTTGTAGTAGACCCACGACTGCCCGTGCCAGCCCTCCGGCCGCCCGTGCTTGATGATCTCCACCTTGTCCGACATGATCACGTCCCGTGCCTTGGCCCCTCCCCAACAGCACTCTGTCACCAGCCACCGGCTGGTCGGACAGTGAGTCGAGGTTGCACTCGGTCGCCAGCTACGAGCTGATCGGACCGCAGCTCGTTCTCCGCTTGGTCACCAACCGCCGGCTGATCGGACAGCGGCAATACGCGCTCGGTCACCAGCTCCCACTGATCGGACAGCACGCTACCCCACTCGGTCACCAGCTACGAGCTGATCGGACAGTGGTCGGAGTCGTCAATCACGCGCAGGCTCTCGCTTGACCATTTGCTGGTCTTGGGCTCAGAACCCTGTTCCGTTGACACTCTGCTTGGCGTCCAACGGTCCAGCACCTTGAGCAAGACGAAACTAAGGATAGCCAGTCGCTGGTTAACACGCAACTACTATTGTAATAACCGGCCAAAATGCCCACCCGTAGCAACCGCTTATTAGATCTCAATTGCCTAATTAGTCCGAGTATAAATCAGGGTATAAATCGATTGTAATCCATATGCATCGCCAGGCTGCACGATTGCCCAGTAAAAGGTGGGCATTCTGCTCCAAACGCGTCTATATCGACTGGTTTCAAATAAATCGATCGTACCCACTCACATATGCATCGCAAGACGCGATCGATTTACAAATCGATCGAGCTAAATCAGGGTGCTAATCAATCGATTTACGACCAATATAGGCAAAAGAAGCGGTTTTCACAATACTCCTATATTCGCTTAGCCTTCTCACTGTCGGTGCTCTCTCCGAGCTGTCCTGCTAATCTCAGACTGAGCTGCAAACTACACACGCAATATGAGTTGGCAGCAACTGCAAGTTCTGCCAGCTCCAGCTTCAACACCTGTCTACTGCTACGCAGCATCCCACATTACTTGTCACTCCTACTGCCGCAACTTCAATCCTTACAGCACTTTGCCGCGGCAATGCCGGCGAACGAAGCCAGATCACAACACTTACCTGACCGGCAGTCCAGGCTGCATCTCAATAACTTAAATACTTGTTGATTACTCGCATCAGCAGTCCCTTGCTTTACCGGTCCTCCGCCTACGGCGTTGGATTCCTTGGCATATTCCAGAAGGATCGTTGCGGAGGATGATAAAAACTATAACATGCTTTGCTTAAAGTATACTAAGGCAATAGTAGAGAGTGAGCAATGGTAGAGTGTCACGTCGACCAATGAATAGACAGTATTTCGCGTATAGCTTCCATGATTGGTTGATAATGTAATTATTCAAGGTGCAAGGGAGCAAACAGCTGGTATTTCAATACAAACTCCCTGATAAAATCTCTACTAAACTGGCACAACCTCGAATTCGAGATGGATGCGTTAAATGTGCTGAATATTGCATGGATTTAGTTAGCTGGTATCGTCTCTGATTGTTGAAATCTTGAGCTACAATTTCATACCTCACTCAGTACCTTGCGGTCAATATTACAAGCAGGGGCGATTGGCTAAAAGTTGCCATCGAAAATTCTACTAAAGTGGCAACTTGCCTTAATAAGACCTAACAACCTAGACACACGACGAGCTTTTAATGCTCTTACATATCCCCCTATCTTGATGAAGATTTCTAGCCTTACGAACTGCGACTTCCCCCGGGACGCTTGTCGCCCGGGTAAGCTAGTTTCGTGCATTACTACAATACTTCTAATTGTTAATATATGTAACTGCTATTAGGGGTACCGGTTCACGTAAACAATCCGTAGTTGTCACAGACATTCGGTTTGGCCACCCAAAATGCGTTAAGCTTATTCCAATTCTGCCTTCTTTTTGGTTGCTACAGTATCGTCCCTGGCGTTTCGTCCTTCAATTTCGACTGTGAACACGTGCAATCACTTGGAAATAGAGTATTGTATTGCAATTCGCAATCTACTGTACAAGATTGACAGCTTGAGGAATGTAAAGTACATCATGTTCAACGCAGCATATACCTACGTACACTCTTGTCAATCTTCGTCCAAGATCATGAGGAGCAATCGCCTATCGCATCTGTTATCATATTCAATACATGTACTGTACGCTTCACAACCTCTTCATAAACGACATCCCAAGGATACATATTACGAACCCGGATATACCGCCCCGATCTGCTGTCCCAACTTTCATTCCCGAATCCACCGACTCCGAACAAGCTAGGCGCTTTCAGTCGCTATGAAGTTGTTTCATGCCGTCGGGCTGGCGATTTCAATTGCTACAGTGTTTGCACTTACCAACACGACGACCACCGACCAACTCAATGACTGGTATCCGTGCGCCGAGTTCACCTTCTCGGATGACGGGGTTTCAAGCGGCCAGAAGGCGGAGTGCGCCATCTTCATGGCGCCGTTGTGCTACCCCGGTATTTGTGACTCCTTGGACTCAGAAGACCCAAAGATCGACGTCTTCGTCAAGCGAATGCCGGTAGTAGACAATGCTGAAAATGCAACCAATGTGTTTTTGACCGGAGGCGCAGGTCTAACAGTGGGATCGGAAAATAAAAATTGATATTGTAAAATTGTAATATTGTTGGGCATCAATATTGTATTGTAGCGATGTCATCAATATCCACTATTTATTGTCAATATTGTTCAGGAAGAAAAACTGCCCCTACCTTCTCTTACGATATTAAAAAGCACCATAAGCTAGTTTTCCTCTCCTTTTTCCGTGGCTGTTGCCATTGAATACTTCTGACAGCCTTAATAGGTCATCAGACCCCAATCCATCGTCAGTACTTAATCGAGTCTCAGTTTTTTTCACGTTTCGCGTCGAGGGGTCGATGGCGCTAAACAACCGAATTAAGTATACGTAGACTTGCTCTCTTATCGAGCTATGGTTTTCTCCATGAGAGTAGCCTTGAGGTCCGCAGGGCTGCACTTCTGTTTTCTTTAGAGCCACGTAATGCCACCAACGTGTATACGTAATAAATTTGAGCAGATACTGCGACTACGTGCGAAAAACTTCGTTTGCGCAGGAGGGGGGACACTTAGACCTCAGAGCTGCAGCGTTACTGCGGCACCTACGTCGGTGATAATAACTTGGCTTGTACAGACGTCATGAAAGAGCGAGAGGTACCCCAACCGAGTCTCCAACATTGCTCGTCGATGCTTCTGTCTGGTCACTTTCGCTTTAGACACTAGGAAGACCGTCAATCATGTTCGGACACGTACAGTTAGGGGTAAAGACTCGCTAACCATTGGGGATAAGTGCCGTGACGATTCATGCTAACATTACTCAACGTCTCTAGTACAGTACAATATATCGCCATACTAAAGGTAAGTATGGCAATATATTGGGGCAAATACTGATATTGGTACAATATTGATTGTGATGACTGCCTCGCCGACAATCAATATCCAATATATATTGTCCGATCCCTGCGCCTCTGGCGCTTCCGTACTGAATCCGTATTATTATTATTTCTATGCAGAGGACTACCTAGTAACAGACCTGCACACAAAACTCAACGTATATCTAGTATGCCAAGAACTCGCCAAGAGGTTATCATTTCAGACTAGCATCATACGCTCCGTCGTAGGCATCGTCCGTAGCGAGGTAAAAATGCTGAAGGTTTATCGGCGTGGTCAAATTGAGTGACAGCATTTCTTGCAGACACGACTTGTCCAGGAGCTCCAAATCTCCGCCGCCGCTGACGTACGACACAAGAATTCTCATTCCACACGTCTCACTGTTATAATCGTTGTCGACGAGAAGAGAGTCTTTGAAAGACTCTTGCGTGGAGTAGTTGAATTTCACCAACTCCGTGTTAGCACCGTCGAGTACGTCGACGAGGATCTCAGCATACTTGTTCGGCATCTTCGGGTCCAATTTGCTGCTCAGTAGGAGCAATCTAGGTTGGCTGGGAAATCGTGGTGCTCTGGTTCCAATGTATCCGTCACGCTCGTACATGGTCACATTCGCCTTGTATGTTGGCGCAGAAATATCTAATACACTACTGCTAATATCCCAGGGAGTATTGAACGAGTAAGTTATCGTTCTTGGTTCACTTCGACTTGGTCACTTAGTTGTTAAGTAAGTTCGAAATCGCTCTGAAGTACTCTTCTGTACCATGTCCGGGGAAGACAGCACAAACCCTGCAGTAAGTTGTTGATGATACACCGACTCGTTCGTTCTTTAGTCTGGAGTTGTGCGCTGTAGCCAAACTCCACCTTAACGGCACGTGGAAGGTACAGTTGAAGTGCCGCAATTCCAGCCAACCCATTGGTCCGCTTTTCATCCAATCGTCAAACCACATCAGCGTACTTAGCCGAAGTCCATCGACTAATCGTCACCTCGCCGCGTTGGAATCCATACTGACTAAAGTCCTCAGGCTCCCCAACAGACAGACAGACTCATGTGGCGTCGTGGTCTCCTCGCCGGCGCCGCCTCCGCGCGCCTCCTCTCGCGCCGCTCGCCGTCGCTGCAGGTCGCTCGAGCCATCGCCAGCTCTGCGCCGCTGCAGTACGGCCGCGCGCGCGCTATCGAGCTCAAGTACCACGACGGCACGTGCACGCTGGCCGTGCCGCTGCCGCTCAACGGCTTCGACGAGGAGAGGGTCTTCAGCATCCCGCCAGGTAAAAGAAAGCTTTATTAAATTATCTTATTATTATTCTAATATTACATTATATTATTTATTATGATTTATTAAATTGCTTAGAGACGACGGTGGCCGACATCATTGCGCAGATTGAAGCGGAAGACAAGTCGGTGCAGAGTGTAGCCATCCGCTCGGCCAGGGGGGAGGAGTTCCAGCCCGAGGACACGCTGCAGAAGGTGCTGACGGACGACTTCGAGCTGCTGCTGAACGACCAGGTGCTGCCCGTGCGCGCGCCGGTGTTCACGGGCAGCGCGTACCAGAGTCTGGCGGACGACGGGGACCTGGACGTGCGCTCCGTGGCGCAGAAGGCGGCCATCATCATGCTGCGCAGCGACCTGGAGCGGCTCGGCAAGTGGAAGATCAGCCACCCGGAGTTTCTGCACATGTGCCAGGAGAGGGGCATCCCCAAGAAGCAGGCGCCCGAGGTGCTGCAGGCCTTCCACCAGTCGGGCGTCGTCTTCTACTTCGGCAAGTCGGACGACGAGGACTTGATCCACTCGGTCTTCCTGCAACCGCGCAGCATCCTGGACTCGTACCTGGAGTCCATCGGACTCTCGCCGCTGTCCTCGCAGCTCTTCCAGCAGCAGCGCGAAGCTCTACTCGCCAAGATTCAGGCGCTCGCGCCCGAGCACGTGGCGCTGGTGAACCTGCGACGGGAGTTGGAGGCCACTGCGACTCGACAGGCGAACGTCATTGCGTACGGACTGTCCACGTCGTTGGTGGGGGCCTTCGGTCTCTACTTCTGGCTGTCGTTTATCCACTTTTCGTGGGATATCATGGAGCCAGTGACGTACTTCACGGGCTTCGGAGTCTCCATCATCGGCTACGCGTGGTGGAGCATCACCAACCAGGAGTACGAGTACGAGAACATCTACCACTATGTTTACACGCGGCGCTTGCGTCGACAGATGGCCAAGGCGAAGTTCAATCAGGGGCGGTACGCTGCGCTCACGGAGGAGCTGCGTCTTGCGCGCCAGCAGCTGGCTCAGACGGAGCTGGTGCTCAGCAAGTCCACGCCGCTGCAGGCCAACTACTTGCATCTGCTCGACACCAAGCGCAAACTCAAGCCGCCAGTTCTTGCAGCCCCACGCGCGCCCATCAAGGCCCAGGATCTGCCAGTGTCTTAGACGATGTGCTCCAGCTGACCGAGTACACGGGTACAAAAGTAACTTTGTTGTTTAAGCAGCGTCTGCCGTTGCACGAATGGAATGCAAAATGGTGGACGCATGCATTGAAATACAAGCAAAAGGGGGACGCTGAGCCCTCGTGCAAGTAGCTTATTGGGTTCAAGAGCCCTTAGATGGAAGTGGAGGCGTGTGCTATATTTCTACATTGATAAAACCGGGTTTATTGAGATGCAAGACATCCGTCTTAGAATTAGAAATTCTGTTGAGATCCTCTTTCCTCCAGGGTTTCCCTGTGTGATAAGGAGTGCTGGTATAAACGAACACGATTTTGATTGAAACCCTATCGCGAATTAATGAAAGCAAACCGCATGTAAAAGTCAAGACGTAGCAATGCAAGCAGAGCAAAATGTGAAATCAGGGCAGAGTAGCCACCCAGAACACTTCAAAAGCAATGTTGAAAGACGCCACGGCCGCTACAGCACCTTGGTGTCAACAAAGACTGGTTAATGAACGTCGGTTTAAGGCCGCCCACCACTCGTGCTTGGTCTACTTGTTGCTGCGCCGTTTGTAGTCCCAGCACCAGTGCCGGTAGTCGTTCCGGTACGCGTCGCCGTGCTGGTGCTAGTCCCCGTCGTCGTGGTCGAGCTCGTTCCACTCGTCGTGCCGGTGCCGGTGGCCGTTGTCGTCCCGGTACTCGTGAAGGTTGTTATGCCGCTGGAGCTTGCGGATCTTGCCGCGCTTGGGGTAGAGCCTCTGGTCGCACCGATCGCGGGACCTCGTGATGTGCCTGTAGTTGCTCAAGTTGCGGGTCATTGACTTGAACTCTGTGTGCGCTGATGCATTAGTTTGAGGTAAAGCAGAGGAAAGCAGCGACGACTATCACCGTCGCGATATTCATTGTTGACGGTGGAGCGGTGGCGCTTTCTGCTACTCGGAACTTGGCAGAGCCCTACCCACTTCTACCCCGACGACGAGAGGGTCACTCGGATCTCGCCCCAAGTTTGTAAATTGGAGAATGAGAGCGAACGTCCGTCCCTTCATGCGAATAGCCTTTTGCTGCTGGCTTGAGAGCACAGTACACGGGGATGGTTGCAGTTCGGGGTCCTTATCTGCGCTCCTTGTCTGGAGTCGGATCGGTTACCAAGTCGTTGCGTTGCTGACTGTTAGTGGCCCTCGTGAAACCGCTCGTACCCTTTCGCGCCCCTTAGCGACACAAATATATTTTGCTACACATGGCGTGTATGGCTAATATGTGCTGCTACTTTAGACGATTGCAGCAAGCGAGATGCTCTGCGCTGCCTGCGCAATTATCTTAGCCAACCTTAGACTCCGTTCATGTGACCCCTTCCTCATTAGTTGTGTGTCCAGCCCGCTGTCGATTTGACGGAGTCCAGCTTGAGCTAAAGCGTCTTGGACAAAAGCGAGATTCTTCACGTCAAGGACTGGAGATCGTTGGAGGTGATTTGGCTTTATCCCTAAAAGCTAGACCTTTCTATCGCCTACTGTACCGGCATCCTCCGTTCTTTACTGAGTCAGTAATACTGACAGTCACTTGTGTCGAGCATTCGTAAGACAGTTTGACGACAAATCAAATCTAGTGATTTGATTGGCGAATAGTACGACCTGCCAATTCTGTTGGCACTGCCAGGCGCAGAGTGCTCGCAGGCTCTGCTAGGAAGGCCCGCGTTCCTCTTCGCTACTCTTTTTGATGCATTTCGTTGCACTTCGTATTCTGACTAATATCGGGCGCAGCATAGTAGTGGTAGTAATGATTGGCGGTTCGATAGAACTGTGCGGAGGAGCGCTGCGACACCAACAAACTCCCTCTACATTTTTAAAACACCACGGCGAGCTTAGATCGTTTAGATTTCCTAGTACTACAGTAGCAGGCCGAGCAAACTGGTAAGCGCCTTCAGCCAGGCTGATCAATTACTTTAGCTTTGGCATTTTCATGTATTCCCGAGAAGTTTCGCCGCTCATTTGACTCTTAGAGGCCCTCACGCCGTTTTGTAGTTATTTGTTTGCGACACCACCAACAGCTTACCTACACGTGGCCGCGGGTGAGGTCGGTGGTGTCCACTACCGACGTAGGTGGAGCTGCAGCAGTGTGCGCCTCCGGGAGTAAGGCAGCCAAGCAAACCGCAACAAATATAAATACAAATACCAAGACTGGTTGACGCTGCCTTGTTGCTACTACAAAACAGTTCATTTCATGACTTTGGTAAGATCCCATAATGTATTGATTGTCTACTCCCTCGCGTCCTCCGACAACGCCTCGGTGCGGAGCATGTGTGCGCGCTCGTCGTGCACTGCTTCGCTCGGAGGCGTCCTCAGAGGACACGACAGGGTTCGTGGGCCGCACTACCGGAGGAAGAGGGGCTCTATTTGGTTATGCATTAACTAGAATTCACTATAAAGCCCTGAACGTTATGTTTGTCAAGCTGGGCTAATGGTTCGGGTGCATTTATTTCTTAACCATTCTCAAACAAGCGTGTACATTGTAGTTGGCAGTAGGGCCGCACTACCGACTACATGTTCGTGCTTGTGAGCGCCTTATTTCGTCGGCTCGACTGTAGGTGGCACGAGCAATTCAAAAACAGCAAAGCGGTTGTCCTCGGGTTCCTACATGCTCAACGGAGGAGCGCACGCAACGACACTACTCTCTGAAAGTTTTGGCCAATCGCATGGTGCAAATTGTTGTCCGACAAACTGTCTTACGTTTTGACGGACAAAATACAATGTAGCCACTGGTATACTAAAACCAAGATGTAGCCAAAATGCGTTGGTTGCAAGACGCTTTGTCTTACTAAGTATCGTCTTACGAAAGAGCATGAATCATGTTTGGCTACAAAAAGTGGGTAAAAAAGTGATGCCTGCCGCGCATTGTGAAACACACAAAAAGCTCATTGTTTCATCGCGATGGTATCATGCTCGACAGCCACAGCTCAAACTCTATGATCTATCAGACTCAGGCTAGAAAGCTGAGCGATAATTTCACTAGCTACAACGTCTACTTTCTTCACTAAAGGCTGTGACATACATGTAGTCATCGCCTGCTTCCAGGGCCTGTAAGTGCAACATCAAAGCCGAATGGTGGTACGCCCTCCCCACGCAGTTCATTCATCCATACCACGAGCTCCTGCTCAGCTTCAGCGGGGAGGGCCATACCTGTGCCGCTCGTCCGAGCATTCTTTTTGAGAGCTGTCTGTCCATGAGCTTTCGCCGCGGTTCGTGGACAAAATCATCTAGACCGCTGTAGAAGGCGTTAAAAGCCGCGGTGATGTCACCGCACTGTGCCCAAGCATCGAGCACCTCGAGCTTTCTGCTGCCGTAATTGCGGTGCGCCTGCGAGCAGGTATCATCTTGTGGATTGGGAAATGACCCATTTTTGTGTTGTCAGTTAAAAGAGGAGGATGACAATAAGGTATTTTGATTGGCTATAATTGATTGTCAGTAATAAGCGAACGTCAGTAAAGAACGGAGGATGCCGGTATTCGTGTGTGCGTATTGATGTTCCTTGCTCATTACTTCGAAGACGACTCTGTACAGGGATATAATCATCAGATTGTTAGTTCACAACGTTATCAGTCATCATTTTACAACGTCACAACGCTTTCACGGCAACGCTAGGGCCTTATTGCGACGTTATTAGCAAAAGGCCGTGCTCTGCCCGGAACAGCTCTGGATTTCATGTTGCTCTTGGGCATGTAAGTTAATGGCACCTGTACTGCCGCCGCGTAGTGTTTTCACGTAAGATCATACCAGTCACAGAAAGAAGTACAGCTAGAGCGCAATAGACGGTATTGAAGCGTAACTATATTTCTTCTGAGTTTTGGTCACCTTGTTCAAGCAGAACACTTCGCACTTGTAGGCGGCGGAAGCCCAAGTAGGCGATGGCTTTAATATTTTCCGACCCGTTCACAATCAGAGTTCGGTAGTAGTCAGAATTTAGGCTAGTAGTGATACAGTTACTACTATTGAAACTATTGAAGCCAGATTCATAAGCACTACTATCTATATTAGTAGGTAAGAAGCAACATTAGTAGTTACCAGTACAAATATTACTACAATTGCGCTACTATAGTACTACTGCCCCACAATATCGTTTCCTCGTTTGTTTCCTTGATTGCAGGGCAGTATCAGTTGTACTTGGGCTCTAGTCCTTGTTGGGGATGGTTTCATCAGTTGAAACTCACGTTCTAGCAGCGCTGTTGAGCAAACACGGCCTGGTGAACTGACCAGTAACAACGAGGATGAGTCCGTTTGCTTCATTGCGAGTGGCACACAGACACCATAGTAAGATTTAGCAGTTATGAGCATAATAGTAATTCAAACACGCGCCGTCACCAATCAGCCGTATCACCTGATACTTGCACTTGGCTCCCTGAATCATAGAACATGCCTTCGTCTTCACACACAACAGAAAATATGTATGCATACATTACCCTTGTAGATGGATGAACTCTCACACGATCAGGAGCTTGAGGGTAAGTGGGCTCTGCTCCTTTGGCGAACGATACGACGGGTAGCTGGGAGTCGTTGTCCGTGTAGAAAACCTTGTCGAGGCGCGACCGGCTGGCGAACCTGCCTCTAGAATCCCCTGGCGAAAAAACAAGAGTGCGCTCAGATTGGCTGTCATTGAGGGAATATGGCTGATATTAATACATGCAGCCGGCTTGTGCACCATTCAAGCACTTCATTCTCGACTCTCAAAAACATGATACTCTGTGGCATTGTTCTTACTTGACTTGACTAAACACTTGGGGTGCAGAACCACCTGTTGAAGATCCTTGGTGTGTTGAAGTTCGGAAAAATAGTAGTGATAATAGTAGTGATATTATTACTACGAATGACGTTTTTTTGCTACTACGGACTGGTCTCCAGTATTATCACTACTAAGTCGCCCAGATCCTAGGGATATAGCAGGGATATAGTAGTAGTAGTAGTAGTAATATCACTACTTTCCGATAGTATTCAGCAGACAACTAGTTCAACGCGAGAAAGCGGGCCATAGCGCTGCATTTGATTAGATTTCTAACACGCGAATGGAAGGTAGAACTCCTGGTTAGTGTAGTAACTAGTAGACATCAC